AGACTCTAAACATCTAATTCAGACCCTGGCAGTAATGTATTAGGTATATAAAGGCTCTCCTTGAATACACACATATACACACACACACACACACACACACACACATATGTCTATTCTTGTCTTCATTTTTTTTTTTTTTTTTTAAAGAAGATGTTGGGGGTAGGAGTTTATTAATTAATTAATTTATTTTTGCTGTGTTGGGTCTTCGTTTCTGTGTGAGGGCTATCTCTAGTTGTGGCAAGCGGGGTCCACCCTTCATCGCGGTGCACGGGCCTCTCACTATCGCAGCCTCTCTTGTTGTGGAGCACAGGCTCCAGACGCGCAGGCTCAGTAGTTGTGGCTCACGGGCTCAGCTGCTCCGCGGCATGTGGGATCCTCCCAGACCAGGGCTCGAACCCATGTCCCCTGCATTAGCAGGCAGATTCTCAATCACTGCGCCACCAGGGAAGCCCTTGTCTTCATTTTAAACAAAATTTTCTGTGGGGCTACTACGTATAATTAAGGGAGACATGGTTTGCAAACCAGACACAGCAGCGGACCTAGATAACTGCTAGGAAGTTGGTAGTGAGTTTCAGCCACCACAGATTTCTTCCCATCTCATCAGATCATCCTATCCTCATGGCTTTAAATCACTATCTTAGATTTAGTAATGGGTTAACACTTTCAAAATGAAAATAGATGCTTTCCCCTCCACTCATAAACATGTACAGTTAATAACTGTGTGCCCAGTTAATGTCCACTGAAGGGAAGGACAATTAGAATATAAATTTATTTTTTGTCTACTCTTTTTTATTGAATGATCATGTAATAAAATCAGGAGATTTTATGTAAACTATTACTTTAGGAACATTTGTTAAGACAAGTATAGGTTTAATAGTGTTAGCACTTCTATCTGCCTGGATATTTGTTCAAAATTAGGCCTCTTCTTTTTCCGATAATCGATTCTACTCACTAGGAATAAATCTGCCTTGACAGCCTTCGGTTACTTTCCGATTTCTATGTTCACTTATATACAGCATACAAACCTATCTCCCAGAGTATTATTGGAAAATGTTAGAAAGCAGAAAAATACTGAAGAGAGACATAATTGCTGAAATAGAATTGTTAGGAAACATCCATAGACCACAACTGCTAAAACGCATATACTTGCCATAATTAGCTTCGTGTCTCTTATTTCTCAAATAAACTAATGTCCCTTTCTCTGTCATTTTAAGTGCAGTGTGAAGAATTCAAGCATACTTCAAGATAACATTAAATATAAGTTTTAAAGTTCTTATATTTATAAATACATGGGAATTGGATTGATAAAAGGCTATTTAAAAACAAAATTATCAGTACGTATTTTCCAAGAACATAATCAGTGATTTAAAAGAGATGGATGTCATCATATATGTGCTATCCTTCATTTTATAAAAAGGGAGATAAATGTTGATACTTCCGTGATTTAGGGGGATGGGGAGGGGCAGAAATTAGCTGTGTCGGTAGCAAATTATTTTATGTTTTTTAGGCTTCTGAGAAAGAAACAGTATTTATTGCACAACTTTAGAACAATAAAATTATCTTGCTTAAATTGGACACTAAAATATTTTCAAATTTTTCCATAAAATAAACATATACCAATTATTATTTAAATATGCTTTATACAAAGTAAAAAACTGGATGACAGATACATTGAGAATGGCCTCCCTCATATAAAAACTTCATGATACAAAATATTCGAATCATTATAGTTACAAAGAATTAACTCTGAAATTGCTTTCTAAATGTAGTGAAACTGGGTTGCACATCTACTAAAATAAGCTGCCATTTTGACAGTTGGGACTATAGGAAAAGAGATTATCATTATTGAACGGAAAAACCCTTTTAACATATAAAAAGGGAAAAATTTTAAAACATGCTAAAGTAATTTTCAAAGATTCTGAGATCCCATCTTATTTTGTTCTGTACAGTCCTTCCTACCCTGTAAGGGTAGGACTCCTACTCACTGTTAAGGAGTACAATCCTGCATCAGTTCGACAGCCATTTCTAGGCAAAGAGTCACTTTGTAATATAAGGATAAAAAGTCAAAACATGCCCCCATAGTTTAATGAACAGACAACAAGAAGCATGTTGTTATTTTGCCCCTATCATAAAAGCAAGATGCCAAGCACCTTCCTCTCCCTTTAGGATCACAGGTTCTTATCCCAGTAGCTGTAAACTAACTAGGTTTACACTATCTGTGGGTTGTGGATGCTTTTTCAGATAAACCTCATGTGTTTCAACTGGGGAAAAGTGTAACACTCCTGGAGTCTGAGATCTGGACCACTGGAGATTAAATGCAGGGAGCTAGGATAAATTCAAAAATTTAGAATTTTATTTCAAGTAAATTCTTATATCAGAATAAAGATTTTCAAGTTTTCAACACGGTGTTATCTTTAAAAGATGAATGCTTGTCGGAGCACAAGAGACACTACAAAATATTTCATATCATTAGATATGAATAAATAAAACTGCAGTTGAAAAGGAAGTGTGAGTAAAATAGCGCAAAAATAAAGTGTACCTTTTCTTCAACCTAAATCCCCCTTCCCCTCACAATCACTTACTGCTGGTTTGTTTGCACAGCACCGGTTTTCACGCCTTGCTGAAGACTGCTGATATATATGGGCTGATGTTTCTGACTGGAAACATTTAGCTCAAGTTTGTACAACTGAGCTTTTATCATACAGACAAAGCAGTAAGACCGTAACGAAATAACAGCGGACAGTATTATCCTTATTGTAATGAATCATCTCGTTAGCCAATTTTACCAGGCTGGGCCATCAAACAGAAATAATTCAATGCTGATCAATTTTAGAAAATGAAACCTTTGTTTTGGGACTTCTTTTTCTTGGTTATTATTAAATAATCAGACAAATACTAAAAAAGGTATGATTGGGTTTTTGCAAGTTTTTTTAAGATACATACAGCTGTATTATTTACTCTCTTTTTAAGATGCATTAAGCATAATATTTGCTGGATTTGTTTTCCCCTTTACAAACTTCTTAAATACACACTGCAGAATATAAATTCCATGCTTTTGTAGTCTTTAGTTATTAACTCTGTATTTTCTCACCCTGGTTAGAGGGAAAACAGAAAATAAGGTTTTTGTTCACAAGAACTCAGACAGGGGGTGATGGCTCAACCCCAACCTTAGCGCAGTAACTCTGTGCTGACTCCACAGTGTGCCCAGCGTCATCGCCAGAGAAAGAGAAATGTAAAAATCCTGTCCAAAGCTGAGCAAAGGAAACGGGGTCCTCACTGGGACAGCAAAGTTCTATTCCTCACTTTTAGGAAAACATCACAGAATGTTTAGAAATAAGGTTTCTGCTATGGAATGAAAGCAATATACTAAACTTTAAAGATACTGTACAGGTGAGTGAAACTTACGAACGTAAGCACCAAAATAATGGCATGCTGAAGAAAAATAAGACGGAAAACTTCCTTCTAAAAGCTTGGCACTTTCCTCTCCCATTTAGAGAAACATATCTGAGCAGGGGGGCGGGTAGGAGACCAGGACTGGGACAGTAAATAGAGAACTAAAATGAAAACCTCTCCTCTCATGGGATATAATCCATTTAACAAACAGCTCATGGACTCTGATTTTCATCTATCTTATTTTGCAGGTATATTTCCCAATAATTTTAATTTTACCAAGGTGAGTGTTCATGCCCTGTTTTAAAACTGTTGGATCCTTACTATGATTTGTGAAATAAAGGGACGGGGAGAGGTGGAGGTGGGGGAGGGTTACCCATCTTAAATCATTTTAAATCTTTCATTGTCAAAACTTTCTGTGTTGATTAGGTCTGCTTGCGCTCCTGAAACCCCACGATGCATTCCACTCGCTGGTCCTCTCCATTACTACTAAGTTTTCCTGCTTTTCTTCTTACCAGGCAGAAGCACTCACAGTGAGCTCAGACTTCTGTACTTAATGTAAAAAATTAGCACAATGCATGGAGTCATTTCTGTGTATATTCTAATAGCTTTCTTCAAGTACAGTTTCTGAGGACAAATGAAAACACCTAAAATAGTCTTTAGGTCAATTTCTTATTAAAAAAAAGGAAATAAGGATTTAAAATCAAACACTGGAATATAGTTTCTGAAAATTCTTGATTACGTTTAGCTTGATTTAAAGTTACTCATTTGTATTTAATACACAAAACTAAATGAAACCTGAACTTCTAAATAGCAAGTATATGAAATAAAATCTTCTTAATAGGTGACCTATCCAAAACCGAAAACAAACAAATAATCGACCTAGTTTCAGTAAATTTTTGCTTTACTGCGCTATGGGCTATGGTGCAAGAAAAAGGCTGGAGGGGAACTGAAATATAATTTGGGGCCAATATGGAAAGTTAGGCAGAGACATTTCATGTTCAAATGAATGACATTTTGCATTTATATAGCACCTTATATAGTCAAAGTGCTTTACAATCATTATTACTTGACAGCCATTCATCAATGTAAATAAACATAGTTTATAATCTGTCAACAAATGTAAGCACTTTGGGGCAACCAAATACCCAAGAGAATCTACTCAGTAGCAAACTCTTAGACTAGTACATAGAATTAAGAAAAAATACGACAGCCACCTGTCATAACGTCAGACACAAGAAGTCACTTATTGATCCTAACGACTGATACTAAGATGTTAAGTATTAGGAATTATTGAGAAATAGCAGGTTTTATGTTAAGGAATAAGTAAGACAAATGAGGTGCAAGTCAACAAGGAAATTACCCCAAAGGTAAGGCCACCTATGACTCATAAGTATATAAAAAATACATCTTTTATATACTTTTATATGTGGAGGGCAGTTGCAACGAAATGTCAGCCCATTGCTAGAATATGATCCTCAGTTACTGTGATATTGCAAAAAAAGAAGGAAAATGAACACACTGCATGATTTTTTTTCTTCTGTAACTTCTCCCCAAATAACCTAACCAGTGCATTCACTTCTGCCAGCAAATAAGATAGTAGGAAATAATGAAATTCTATTTGTTTTAAAAATAGTTTCCAAAACTTTGGACAAATTTAATTTCCTATAAAACAATGTGAAAACTCAGTTTTTCCCTCTAAATAGTTCTATCAGGTGCCTTAGGTAAGATCTGATTAGCACCTCTGCCAATGTATTTATGTCTTTGCAAAAAGTGCACTTGCCAACCATTTTACATAGTGAGTATGCAAGTTATTTGAAGTGCATTTGGAAAACAATTGAAAACACAGATTAATACATCATAAAAAGATTAATTCCCTTTAAACAAAGACATTCTTAGAAAGCATGGTAACACAGAGGCACAATAAAGAATATAAATTGTGTATCAATTATTGGCAGAAAATCTAATTCATTACAAAGCCTACACCATTGGGGAAAGGACATTTTCATACAAAGAAAAGTACTACACTAATATACAACACTTTTAATTGGGCATTTAAAAATTTTTTGGCACATTAAAAGGAACCAAAAGGACTACAAAATAAAGGACCAAGATACTAAAACATTATAGATACAGAAGAGAGAAAGTCCTCAAATGAGAAACAACTAAATACATGAAATACAGACAAAATATAAGCTGGCTGAATTTCCTGAAATGTTACATGTAACAGAAGTATGCTTTGAATGCGGGATGTTTTTTATTCTAATGGCAGGACTTGTCTACCTTGCTGTGGCTGGCTGGACGTGGCCCGGGTAAGACCTTCTCGTGCTGGTGGCTTGTCTCTGCCTCGCCAGGAATGACTGCCCTGAACCTGTACTAGCAAGTCTGTCTTCTGCCGCCTTTTTATGCAGAGTCATTCCCTATGTAACACGGAAAAAAAAAATCAGTGAAAAAATAATGGAACACACTCTCACAAAAGAAAATTTCATCGCGCAGAATTTGTTACCTGACGACATAAGGCACAATCAGCAACGTTAACTCTGCTCATGATAGATTAAAATCTTAGAGACATTTAAGTTCCAACAATTAGGTACAAATCTTTTGGAAAAATTAAGCCTTAATTTTCTGAATTTACAATAACCCAAACAATAGATTATAATAGAGATGGATCTTTGGAATGCATTATCCATACTCAATCATACATACTTCCCTTTCGAATCAAATGCATAAAGTGATTTTCCAAGAAAAAAAGGGCAATTGATTGGTAGCAGTTGATTCACGTGGGGATATGGAAATCAGAGGGTTTAGTCAGAATAGAAAACCACAAAAGCACTTGTTCTTTCTTAGGGTGGAAAGTCACACCAGGTATAATACATACCACCACGCTGCTTTTCTTCACAGGCAGAATTGTTAAGGGAAGTTCCTGACGGCTGGCCCACACAGCGGGCCCAAGGAGCGCAGGGGTCCTTCCCGAGGACTGGAGAAGGAGGCCTACCCGCTTAGAAGGGGGACGAGCCCACCTAACGGGCCTAGGGCACCTGAACAGGAGGGAGAACCTGCGGCGCTCTCTAAACACGGAGGAGTAAACAGTGAGGACCCTGAGTAGATCCGGAAAAAAAGGGTTTCGGTTCTCATTTAATAAGCTAGCGAAGAACCCTGGCTAGAGAAGCAGGAAGAACTGGGAGCGGCAGCTTTGTCTCACCGGTGATTGGAAGCGTGATGACGGGAGGAAGCGGACGCCGGCAACAGGGAAGGAGGAGAAACAGAGCCGGGAGAGAGGCGGGGCAGGCGCCAGAGGCGCTGGGCAAACCCGCACAGAAGGCAGAAGGCAAGACAAACCTCCCAACTCCCGTCACCTCCAGGGAAACTGGGGGCATGGCTCTGCGTTTCAAACAGACCCCAATGCACAACATTCTCCACTTTCCCCATGAGAAAACCCAGGATGTGCTTTTTACTCAGTTTGGAATTAAAGCATTTAAGGATCTGAATAAAATGGACAAATATCTATTGGTAATATCTGTTAATTTGGCTACGTAAATTAACAATTATATTTTATCTAAAATATACCTTTTTAACTTTCACATTCTAAACAACTTATTCAAATTCTAGACTCCCCTTCAAGATCTCAGTATCCATCATGAGGCCATTCCCTGAGATACTTAATACCTTTTCCCAGCACTCACCATCCTCACTTCCAGTTCGGTTGTCTGGGATGCAGAACTTTCTGAATGTATGTATGAAGCTGTTACCGGCTGCCCTATCTGAACATAACTTGTGTGATCCTACTGGGAGTTATTCCTTCACTCTCTGCAGAGATGAAAACTAGGATTCTTCTTTAATACCACGTCACAGAATAAATCAGTTTTGTTCCATAAGAAACACAATATGTGAAGTCATAAAAATCAATCAGGTATATGAAATCACTAATATGGACTGAGGGGCAGAGCTCCCAGATTGCTAACATTAACCTTGAAGGAGGACGAAGAGGAAACAATGTGGGTGAAGTCAGGACTAGTTCCCAGAGACCTTCCTTAAATACAGGTTTTTCTTATTTTTTTACATTTTAATTTTCAATTAATCTATATTTGTTAACAGTAATGGTAATGTAAACCCACTATGATTTCCTTTTTTGTTTTTTAAAATTGTGATAAAAATCTTAAATATGTAGTTTTAACCAAGGCAAATATAAATGTGGACATGTCATAAAACTGTATGAAATTTTGACAAAGTTCAAATCACATTGTTAGGAGACCTGGGACACGAACCTTTCAGATACAGTATCAATTATAACTGTAAACTGGTATAATTTACAATTGTAATTGTAAAATGGTACTGTGCCAGTAACACAACTACAGGGTCAGAGGGGTATGATGAAAGGAATGTGGTCCAACTTCCTATCTCAGGCAGCTAACGCTTTGAAAAGGCAGAGTGGTCTTATTGGGAAGAAGAACAAAGCAGAAAAAGAAGAAAAGTTCTAAGAAAAAAAAAATTGAAAAAAGTACAGCATTCTTCAAAATCCATAGCTCTTCATATCCAGAAAAGTCTTAATGAAGCCCAAAATGCTGATAAGCATTTATTTTCCCCTGCAATACGTTTAAGATTTTTTGTTGGAAAATTCAATTTCAAAACCTTCAGCTAGCTGTTCAGGGTCTAAGACCGTGAACATTTACCAAAACCTGAGAGACAGTTAAACTATTTTCATTACAAGTACCGCTCCTGCAAAGGCACTGAAATAGTCCCACAAAACAAAAGCTACTGTATCTGTGTTTAGATATTATTAAAGTCCCTACCCCCTGAGAATAAAATGGTCCTGAGAGACAGAAATTTTTCTATCCTCTAGGACAGGGATAATGATGTGTCCACAATGTTCTAGCCCTGTTTATGGTGGTTCCTGTATCTGTTGTTTGGCCCTAAGAGCAGCATTAGGGTGTTGTTAGTGTGTGTTAGGACAGTAATTACTTTCAGATTCATTTGGTAGAATTACTTCTACAGTAAAGGGAGTATAATAAATGATACACATTCACTGAATCTCGCAATATGTTTTGACGTGTTATTTTCTTACCATATTGTACCAGGCACTAACAATATATTTCTCCTCCATCTCTCTTTGACTCTTTGTTTTCTCATATTCTTTCTAAAAAGCAAGCACATGTAAGCATGTTAAGATGAAAAACAATTCAACATAAATAGAATACTCACAATAAACTATCTAAGTTCATGGGCACAACTGTACAGTCAGCTCTCTATATCCATGGGTTCCACATCCACAGATTCAACCAACCCCAGATCAAAAATGGTAAAACAAACAAACAAACAAACAATAAAAACAACCAGGAAGTTCCAAAAACCAAAACTTGAATTTGCCACGCATAGGCAACTATGTTTTTTTAAAGTATGGATATCTTTTTAAAAAATTAATTAATTAATTATTTTTGGCTGCGTTGGGTCTTCATTGCTATGCACGTGCTTTCTCTAGTTGCGGCAAGTGGGGGCTACTCTTCACTGCGGAGCGTTGGCTTCTCATTGCGGTGGCTTCTCTTGTGGAGCACGGGCTCTAGGCGTGTGGGCTGTAGAGTGCAGGCTCAGTAGTTGCGGTGCATGGGCTTAGTTGCTCCGCAGCATGTGGGAATCTTCCCAGACCAAGGCTCGAACCCATGTCCCCTGCATTGGCAGGCGGATTCTTAACCACTGCGCCACCAGGGAAGTCCCCATAGGCAACTATTTACATAGCATTTACATTGCATTAGGTATTATAAGTAATCTAGAGATAGTTTAAAGCACATGGACGATGGGCTTAGATTTTATGCAAATAACCACATTCACCACTTTCTACGAGGGACTTGTGCATCCATGGATTTTGGTAACTGTGCCTCGTGGATGTTGAGGGACCACTGTGCATAGCAAAGCTTCTAGAATCGAAAATGAAAATATCAAATGTCTTATCATATTACAGTAAACTACCTCCAATGAATGGAATTGCCGATCCCGTTCGTGGAGCTGATTTTTAAGAGCTTGTATTTCTGGTGCTGCTCCTTGATTTTGTTTAGGATCTAAAGTACGGATAACCTGCAAAAAGTAATAAAAGAAAAACTTTAGAAGTCTCAAACCCAAGGAGTGTAATATCTAAGGAAGCAGTCATTTATAAAAACGATAAACCTTATGAGACTCAAAAGTTATCTTTAAAATCTGAATGTATAAAATGATATTCAGTTGTTACAATTTTTAATTATATAAAATTTTAAAATTATGTGAAAGTCAGTGATAAAAAGTAATTCTGGCTTAAAATTAATCGCACTACAGCACACACTGACAGCAATCTTCCCTTTTCCGTTCCTCTAACTTGGTTCAGGGGCCTCTGCCTCTGACCAGATGTGCGAGGATGGAGCAGGTCCCAGTGCTCCACAAGCCTGTCTCTGTGGTCCTTCTCCTTTGCCAGACGCTGGGTTTACACACAGGCTGGCGACACAATTCTAGCTGGCCCACCAGAGGGCTTCTGGGAAGGGTCTTTGCTTTTTGGCTCAGCAGTTTTACTATCAAAAATGATCAACCCCATAGAAAACTTGAAAGAGCAGAATAAAAACCCATTTCCTTTAACCCAGATTGACCAACTGCAGCACTACCACCTTTGTCTCATGACACGTGACCCTCAAGCACTTCAACACGCATCTCGTTAGACTAAGGACATCCTCCCATATCATCTGTAAGAAAGTGAACCTCTCTATAAGTCATCACGATTCAGCCCAAATCCACATTTCCACAGGTGTCCCCAATCCAGGATCGCTGCATTTGGCAGGGAGGTCCCTTTGGGCTCCTTTACAGGAGAACAGCTTCTGGTGTTCCATGACGCTCCAGTGCCTATTTCTGCTTTCATAATGTGGATTCTCATCCCAAAGTCTGGATTTATCTGATGCCTTCCTGAAGGTGTTACTTAACTTGCTCCAGTAACCTCCTTTTCCCTGGGAACTGGAGCTAGGCCAGAAGCCCTGAGCACTGCCGGCAGCAAGGCTCATCTGGAGACAGAGGCGGGCCCTCCCACCAGGCACAGCGGATTTTGATAATTAGGCAGGGTGGGGCTGCCACTCATTTCCCACATAGAAAGGTGATTCCCTCTTGGTAACGAGTAAGTAACCTGGGGCAGGGGTGACCTGTTTTGATCACGGCCTCTTGCTCTTTTTTTCCGAAAGACTCCTCGTGTCCTTCTGTGTGAGAGGTCACCATTCAGGCACTGTATTTTGAAACATCAGCGAAACACAATGAGAAAGTGCAGTGAGAGGCCCGCAGACTCACACTTACACTTTTGGCTTTCTCTAAGTATTTTTTATATCTTTCTTCCATTTGCTTCATTTCCTCTTCTTTCTTCCGTAAAGCTTCTTGTAATTCTTCAATTTTTAAGGCTATCGGTGAGACAGTAAAAAATTAAAAATTTTTTAGACCTAACAACTTGAAAATATTTCAACTGACAAAATAGTAAACAGCTTTGAGAGACTGTTTTGTCTATACTTATATATAATTTTATTTTTTTAAATTCACAATTTTTTAAACAAAAAGCTTTTCTTAGAAATAAACAAAAACTACACTATGGAAGTGCACAAATTAAAAAGTATTCATGGATGGTTGAAGGGATAAACAAAATGTGGTCTATTTACACAAATAGTTGATTATTCAGCCTCCATTCTGATACACGCTACAATATGGAGACATTATACTAAGTGAAAATGAAAGCCATTATGTGAAGTGAAAGAAGCCGGACAAAAAAGGACAAATATTGTATGGTTCCACTTATATGAATTACCTAGAAGAGTCAAGTGCATAGGGACAGAAAGCAGAACAGAGGCTACCAGGGGCTGGGAAGAGGGGAGGAGGGGAGTGGTTAACAGGTAGAGAGTTTCAGTCTGGGAAGATGAAAACGTTCGGGAGATGGACAGTGGCTGTACAACAGTGTGAACGTACTTAACATGTCACTGAACTATATACATTGGGCTGGCCAAAAAATCGTTTGGGATTTTCAACACATCTCATGGAAAAACCCGAACGAACTTTTTGGCCAGCCCAATACTTAAAAATGGTTAAAATGGTCATTTTTATGTTATGTATATTTCACCACAATACTAAAAAAGCAAAAGTCTGTGTCCTGCTCCCACATCCACAGAGAAGAATTAATAAAGTCAAGCTACATACGGGTGTAAATATCAACCAAAGGAAAAGTCTGGCTGACTTACACTGTGAAAAAATTTCATAAAATATGCATTAGCATCCATTAAGTTAATGGAGTTAAGGAAAAACTCACAACTAAATTAGAAATTTAAGAAATACTGTAAAGGTGATGTGTGTGTGTGTGTGTGTGTGTGTGTGTGTGTGTGTGTGTGAACTCTTTCTGTGAACAGGGCAAATTCCTTAATTGCTAGAAAATATAATAGGGCCTATTTCTAAAAAAACCAAATTTTATTTAAACTCATCACTAGCGCTAACCGACTGAAAACTACGCTAATTGGGAAAACTCACAGCTGTTGTTAAATCTCGGCTCAAGGTCCTCGATGATGGCTCTCTTCTTCTGCAGCTCATTATTGGCCTCATGCAGCTTCTCTCTGTAACAAAAGATGTTAACATTCTTACCTACTACTGTTTTGCATTTTTTTCACTTGAAATGAAAGATACAAATTCTTTCTTTATGGGATACACTAGCATAGCACACACGTGCTATGAAACAAAGATGAAAAGACTAATCCAACATAAACATATTTTCTAAATGACAAAAATCTCAGAGTTTGAAATAGTAGTCTTTCTTTTATATAAACCTGCACAAGAGGTTAGAAATAACTTAATCTTTATTGTTTCTAGGAATAAGGATATTGTAAAAATTAAATTTAAAACTTTGCTGAGGTTTTATGCAAAACTCTTGTTGCAAAAAAATTGAAGCTCCTAAAATAAGAATAGAAAGAACAGTACACGCCAATAAAAAAGAATAAATTAATGGTACATGCACCCATGTGGAGAGATATCATAGAATAATGTTGAATAAAGTCAGACACAAAAGGATAATACTATATGATTTTTTTTATATGAAGTTCAGAAAGTGGCAAAACTAACAAAGGGTGATAGATCAGCAGTGGCTAGTCTGGGGATGTAATCAATTAATTAAAAGAGAACAAAGAATCCTGGGGTGTTGCTGGAAACATGCTATATATTGATCTGGGCTACCTGGCTATGTAGGAAAACACTCATCAAGCTGTAGACCTAGGAACTCAGGATTTGTATACTTTATTGTAAGGTATATTCAAATATAAAAGTAAAAGAATGAATGAACAGAAGTTTTTTCCTAGTATTTACATAATGCATAATTCTCTATACTATTTAGTGCGGCACTCTGTAATATGAGAGGGAAAAAAGGCTGCAAAAATTGGAAAATACAGAAAAACACGAAGAAAAAAATAGAGTACTTTGTCTATTTCTGGTCTTTTCTATGCATAATACTTTAATAAATCTTTGTTGAGGGTATAGACACACACACACACACACACACACACACACACGCAGACATATGTTACACAAAATAAATATATACAGTTTAAATAAGAAAAACTAAGCCCAGTGAAGAAAAAGGTTAAGAAATAAAAATTATCCCAGAACCTTAAAAATCCCATGCGTTCCTATCTCTTTTCCAGTGGTAACCAAAATCAAGAATTTTAACCATTCTCATGATTTTTGTGATGGGCCTCTGTGTATATTCCTGAACACTACACATTGCTTAATTTTGCCCTATTTTTACTTTACACATTAATTATACTGTATGTACTGTTCTGTGACCTCCATTTTTTACTTAACACTCTGTTCTTGAGATTCATTTACGTTCATGTGTTAGCCCTGGTTTATACCTTTTTATTGCTGTACAGTGTTCTATTGTTTGAATATATCTCAATCTATTTATCATTTTACAGTTGGTGATATTTGTATTGTTTCTGCTTTTCTGTGATTAAAAACAATGTTCTTTCTTGTTAAACACACAACTTGTGAGGATAGAAGTGTGTCCAGACATTACCCAGTGTTCTTGAGCTCCTATGTTGTTTCTACTACTGGCCATGAAGGGATGCATAACTGTTACTGAACTTGCTCTCCTGCTAATAACAAGCAGGAAGCTGGGCAAACTATGTAAAACAACTGTTTCAGAAAGTGGACAGTAGGCAGTACAAGATTCTGATCCTCAGGGAAAGAAAACAAGAGTGGGAACCCCTATGATCTCTCTGGCTTTCTGTCTGCAGTCAGAAGGAGATCACAGGAAGGGTGTGCCCATCCCCCTGAGCTGATGACAAAGAGATTAGAACGTGGGGAGGCAGATGCGGCTAGAATTTTTGGAGCCAGAGTAAGAGATGAAAGAGCTATGTAAGAAAAGATCACCATAAATTGGCATATGGGTGCGCTTAAGTGTTTGGATTAATACTAAATTGCGTGTTTCTAGGAATGGACACCATGAGGTTTGTCAAGGGACAACTACAGAAGAATGAAAAATTACTGGGGCGCTGAGAGGGAAAAATCCCAAAAGTCCACACATTTGAGTTCCAACTAGTCAGAGTTGTGTTCTCACTGAAACTGAGACATTTGGTAGGGACCTCAAAGTACAGAGCTTTTCAGCTGGGGACAATTTTGCCCTCTTGGGGCTGTCTAGAGATAATTTTGATTGTCACAACTTAGGAGGGTGTTACTGGCTTCTAGTGGGGAGAGGAAAGAGACACTGCTGAATATCCTACAATGCACACAACTACCGCCTACAACAACAACAAAAAATCATCAGAGGGAAATGAATAATAACTAAATAAACCACCTTATAGTCACTTTTTTTTTTTAAGAAGATGTTGGGGGTAGGAGTTTATTAATTAATTAATTTATTTTTGCTGTGTTGGGTCTTCATTTCTGTGCAAGGGCTTTCTCTAGTTGTGGCAAGTGGGGGCCACTCTTCATCGCGGTGCGCGGGCCTCTCACTATCGCGGCCGCTCTTGCTGCGGAGCACAGGCTCCAGACGTGCAGGCTCAGTAGTTGTGGCTCACGGGCCTAACTGCTCCGCGGCATGTGGGATCCTCCCAGACCAGGGCTCGAACCCATGTCCTCTGCATTAGCAGGCAGATTCTCAACCACTGCGCCACCAGGGAAGCCCTTATAGTCACTTTTTAAAAATAAATGTTTGAAACTGACAAAAAAAACCCCCAAAACCCCAATGTTCTTTCACACTTTCTTCTAAATGTCTCCTGGTAAACATGGACCATAGCATCTCTAGGAATCTAGGGTATACATAGAAAAGTAGAATCAACGGGTCACAGAATATATGCATGTTGCAGTTTACTAAATAAACTGATGTATATCCCTACCAGCAGTGGATGAGAGTTACCAGCACTCAACATCTCTGGCAATACTTAGTATGTCTGATTCTTAAATTTTACCAATTTGTTGTGTGTAAAACAGTCTTGTTGTAGTGTTAAATCTGCATGGTCATTCATCTTTTGAGATGTCTGTGGGCTCTGTGGTAGGCTGAACTGTGTCTCTGAAAAAGATATGGTGAGGTCCTAAGCCCCAGAACCTGTGAATGTGACACTATCTGGAAATAGGGTCTTTGCAGATGTACTTAGTTAAGATGAGGTCATACTGGATCAGGGTGGGACCTAATCCAATTACTGGTATCCTTACAAGAAGGCCATGTGAAGATGGAGAGAGAGATTGCATCTATGCACCAAGGAACACCAAGGGTTGCTGGCAGCCACCAGAAGCTAGTAGAGGGGTACATGGAACAGATTCTCCATTAGAACTTCTAGAAAGAACCAATTCTGCTGATACCCTGATTTCAGACTTCTAGCCTCAAGAACTGTTAGAGAATAAACTTCTGTTGTTTTTAGCCTTGCAGTTTGTGGTAATTTGTTATGGCAGCCACAGGAAACTAATACAGGCCTCATCTTCACTAATAAATTCTTTTTGATGAAGATTTTTACCATGTAAATGAACACAGAACAATGGTCAGACAGTAGTTTTATGAAACCACAGGTATTCTATTTTCTGCAATTAAGGGATGGGAAATGAAAAAAGGACAGAATTCAACACTAAATTCTCACTGCAGGTAACCTCACAGTGGCTGGAAGGTGACAGGTGCTGTTCTAGTATTTTAAGAACCTGCCCAGTGTTAGACTTGCCCTAGGAGTGTCTCACTTTCCCATATAAGAAAGGAAAGAAAGGAAGGAAGGAGGAAAGAGAAAGAAAGAAATTAGGATAGCACGCAGCAAACTGCCAGACTACAGAATTCTTCCCAATGACCACTATGGTACCCAGGATGTCTGTTTACCACAGTCTAACCCTGTAAAGCTCCACCAGGCTGGCAATCCACGGGCACCCACACTCAATGTCTGCAAGGACAGAGTTTTGCCAGAAAGTGATAGGAAGGATTACAGCAGTTACTGGGTGCAAGAAAAATGACAAAACACTCCTAACATTGTCAACCTCAGATATGGAAGATTTCTTCTTCATGAGAAAACAACTGTAATATTTAAAAATTTAATCTTTTAGATCAAAAAGTCATGTTCAGGTATGTTTGCAATTCAAGGAAATGTTTGAAAATCTGCTACTGATAAGCTTAATAATACTTAAAAACATTTACATAAAAAGGAAGCTTCAGCTGGCCAGACTCTAGAGCTGGAAAATTCAGCCCGCGCGGCCCGTTCCTGCATAGAAAGCTTGGTTGGGACAGTCACAGCTCTGGTTTACATACTGCCTGTGGCCGCTCTCTCGAACCTCAGAGCTAAGTGGTTGTGACAAAGACCACTGTTTGCAAAGCCTAAAGCAACTACTCTTTGTTCCTTTCAGAAAACATTTCCGACTGCTGATCCAGAGGGTCCCACACTCCTAACTGGGATCATTAAATACTATCGTGAAGATATAAAACCCTGGAATCTCACTTGAGAAAACAGTTCTAACACAGTAATTGTTTTTATTTGAGGACCTGGGGTGAAGATGACCCTTTAGATACTATTAATGTCTCTTATAATCTTCTATACCTTCAGGGCCACCCATGCCACTGCCTAGATACTCTGTAACCACCAACACAAAACACTGATGTTTCACTGGACAATGTAACAATGAGCCTCAATAGCTTTTATACTTACAGATGTTCTTCAAGCTTCTTTTTTAGAAGAACTGACTAAAAATGGAAAATAAAAAATAGTTTATTACTTAACATTTTAACTAATAAATTAACTAATTAAAAAAAATTAAGAATACAGTAGTAAATAACCGAGTGAGCCCTCAGTAAGTTCTCTGGTCAAAGAGCTGAAAATACACAATGTACCCAAGTTTATTTCTCTTTGATAAGGGAGACAGCAGCCTATAAGTGATAACAACGATCAGTATAAAATACCCATAAACTGTATGTCTGAATTCTCTATTTATAGTCAGGGAAATGAATAAAAAAGCCACTTACGTACAGACCTAATATTCCTGGATGCAATAGGCAAGTAGAACTCTAATAATAATAGACTGTCCCTAAGACATTTTTTATCTGCTATATTTTCCTTGCATCATGGGATCAACTTCCATAAACACTGAATTAATCAGAAGTTTCTGATATGCACAGGTTGCAAGTAGTTTATGTGACAGGATAGGAACATGAAAGATGGGATATGGACAGCATTTAATATGCTGGAGAATGCAGCTTTGACTGGGTATTTAAAAAAAGAGTCTCCTGAGAAGCAGGAGATCAGAACTAACCTAAAATAAACAAAGAATAACGGCATTCCATACAGGACCACCAGGTTTCATAATTAAACTCAACGCTTGTAGGGTACACATTACTAATGAATTCTGTGAAACAGTTCACATTGAGATAAATAGTTACATAATTAATTCAGCCAAACCCAAATAATACGGACTTAGGAAACAAACTGTCCAATCAGTCAAGAGCAGCACGGAGGGGAACATACCCATCACACCGGGCTCTTCCATTTTCAGTCCCCTGACTTGATAGTGATTACTGTCATCGCTTATTCGAGCCCATTCTGACACAGCTCTGGAATATTCAAATGCACTTTTTTGCTGAGTATGTCAACTACAGCTAGGTTAGTGGACCACAATGTCCTCTACCACTGCTTCCCCCAAACATAGAGAAAGATGATAACCCTGATGACTTTTTATTTTTTAATAAATTTCTTTCTTTATTTATTTTTGGCTGCATTGGGTCTTTGTTGCTGTATGCAGGCTTCTCATTGTGGTGGCTTCCCTTGCAGAGCATGGGCTCTAGGTGTGCGGGCTTCAGTAGTTGTGGCATGCAGGCTCAACAGTTGTGGCTCGAGGGCTAAGAGCACAGGCTCAGTAGCTGTGGCGCACGGGCTTAGTTGCTCTGCAGCCTGTGGGATCTTCCTGGACCAGGGCTTGAACCCGTGTCCCCTGCATTGGCAGGTGGACTCTCAACCACTGTGCCACCAGGGAAGTCTCAACCCTGTTGACTTTTGATTACTGCTCCTTCCTTCTCCAGTACAGAGGGTAAAATGAAAATACTTTAAAAAACATCTTAGCTTTAATTGTGCATTTCTGTCTTGATTAGGCTCTAAGCAAAATTAATTTTTAAATCTGAGATAATATATAATAAAATGATTATGTCATGAGCAGTTAATATGCCAGGCACTCACTCAAGTTTATCATGTGCACTGTCTCATGTCAACCTCACAACCGTGAGTGATACCAGCCCCATTTCATGGCTGAGGGAGGTGAGGCTGCGGAGACATTCAGGGGCTTTCCAGAGGCAGATCCCAAATTAAAACCCAGGCCTGCCAGACCCCGGAGTCTATACTCCGGGGTATATACTCCGGAGTCTATACTGGAGTCTTCACCTCCAGTGAAGCCTCTCCAGTGGAAGACTGTTACTCTCATAAAATGTGGCAGCAGGAGGCCAGACTGTGACAGCAAGCTAGCTTCAAAATACTTTATAAAAACAAACTAGTTATAACAATGGGGGTAGGAGTGGGATGGGAAAAAAAAAAGAAGCAGAGTTCCTTATAGCCTGACCTGTTAGGTTTTTGATATCCTTTAATTATCTTAATTGTAAAGGGCATAAACCTATAAGTAATATTGGTATATTCCTTTTGCATAAAACTCCTGTTAATTTAAAATTTCAACCACATCAACTATGATGGCAGATAATGTATAAATCAAAAAACTCTTCAATATATAGAAATGAATAGGAAGCCATACTTACAATAGCCTTGAGCAGAAACCATGCCAAGAGACAGAGAGGACATATTAGTATGAAGCAAACACAGCAGCCAATAGAAGGAACGATTTAGTAATTCATGAACAGAAGTAAAAGACACGCATTTTTTTCCAAAAATGTACATTTTTCTTTCTTCTAGGGTCTCCTCATCCTGTCTTGTTCTCTGGAGTTTTATACACTGTGGCTAGCTCAAATTATCCATATGCCTGGATATAACAATGCTTTTCTGCTTCCATGCTAAAAATAAATGACATAAAAATAATAATAAAAATGTGTAAACCACACTACTCTGACTTAAGGTCACATGAAAGGATTGTGCTTTTGATAACAGAAATGGGCAGAAATTACGTTGTTCTTTAGAGAGGATCAATTCCATTTGGCAGGCTGCTCTGTGCATTACATATTCTGAGAAGCAACACTGTAGGTTGGGTGAAAAGAGAGGAGACAACAACATTGAACACCTGCTGTGGGAAGAACCGCACGTCGTGGATCACACTTTTCTCCACATTATGCTGAGCCCGCCTTCAGAATGAGGCAAGTTTCTGCCTGAATCTTTACAGAGAAAACAGCACTGAGAGAATTTTCAAGAATTTAGAGCAAAACATCTCATTAGCATCTGAGCAGTCAAATAAATTGACTAATTTATGCAAATAGCACTTTTAGGCCTGGGAACTCATTTCTGAAATATGGCCTCTTAAAGCAATGACACACAGCATATTTAATTAGATTTGATAGCCACAGTGATACCTAATCAGGTTATGTAAAATTTTTTTTTACAGAATAAATACCTTTCTTTATGTTTAAATGTAAGTAAGAACAGCAAGTATAATGGTTATTATAGTCTAACACTCAGGTTGAGTGGATACTGATGTTTTGCCATTTTTCATTCCTAGGATCTGCACACCCTTCCCCTCTCTACCATAACAAATGAACAGAAAGTCTCCTCAAAGTTTTCGAGACCAAAACGAAGCCTACATTTACCTCAGTTTAAGGGACCTAGTGATTTCACTGAACTAAGAAATGTTACCCGCTTTGGTTCACTGCTAAGACCCTCTTAGTTTTACTAGTATTTTCATACACGAATGGTGGTTTTGCTTGTGATTTAGCATTCTGGATAAAGGCATGCTTGAAAGTAAGCCATGGTATTTCAAACTAGTTCCATTTTAATAAGGGGATGATGTGGTTTAAATGTTGGTGAGAATTTTAGGAATTGGGAATCAATGTGGGGATCTAAGAAGAACTACCACCACATCAGAGGATAAATTACAGCCCATCATCTCAGAGAGCACGCTGCCAACATAAGCCAGATGGGTGCGTAAGAAACATAAAATTAGGTCACCAGTGAGCTTTTTATACCTCACACTCTCAGGTTTTAAGTAATATGCTGTTTTGTTTTTACACCCTCTTACGTTACTAAGGCTGGACGGAACTAGATGTGTCTACAGTTTTGACGCAGAGTGCCCCAAATGACTCTAACAATGAAAACAACCAAATCAGTTTATACTCAAAAGCCAGAGTTTACAGCCAATTACTCTGGCAAAAGGAAAAAAGTTACCAACTGACTGAAGCAAAGATTAAACTTCAGTTGTTATCCCCTCTTCACACTGGTTTTGAGCCCTTTTACAGGTGTAGCTCTATTGTATACAGCTCATTAAATGTAAGGGATTTGCAAAACATGATTGATTTATGCCTGCATCATGGCCTGACTACTATGAGCTGCCCCAGCTCACTGTGAGGGGCGGTGAGCATGGAGAGGTGGGGAGGACCCTGTTCCCGCCTCGGCACACTTAACTCTTTTCTAGGTGAGTGCCCGCCAAGCAGGCAGGGCTAGGGCAGAGGGGCAGAGTGCTAAGGGAATATTAAAATAGGGCAGTGCGCTTATATCTGAGAAAGAGAGAGAGAGAGAGAGAGAGAGAGAGAGAGAGAGAGAGAGAGCGCGTGTGCGCAAGCGGGGACAGGGGAGTATGTGTGTGTGTGTGTGAGAATGTGCGTGAGTGTGTGTGTGTATGTGTGTGGCGGGGGGGGGGGGGGGGGGAGAGGGGGTCATAAACAGCTTGTGTTTGGAATCCCCTGCAACCTGGGAGCCCCGACAGACGATGCTCTGCCACAGAGAGTCCCTGAGGACAGCTCCCGGCCACGTGGGTTCTCTGCAGCCAGACTCCAGGGCCCAGACCATCCACACTGCAAGCGATGCAGCTGGACGAGGCACAGCCCGTTAATCCAGGCGAGTTCTGTGCAGGAAGCTTGGCTTCCTGATGGACATTCGCAAATACAAAGGCCTGAGGTACGATCACGCCCCTTGAAAACGTTGCAGCAATAGAGTACAAATTCAAGTCACTTGTTTAATTATGAAGCACTTTTCCTGTGAAGGTATATCTGAGAGAGAGAGAGAGAGAGAGAGAGAGAGAGAGAGAGAGAGAGAGAGAGCGCGTGTGCGCAAGCGGGGACAGGGGAGTATGTGTGTGTGTGTGTGAGAATGTGCGTGAGTGTGTGTGTGTATGTGTGTGGCGGGGGGGCAGGGGGAGAAAGAGGGATTCATAAACCTAGAGGTGGTAGGATTTTAGAAATGGCATTATTTTCTTTCTTTCTTTCTTTTTTTTTTTTTTTTTTGCGGTACGTGGGCCTCTCACTGTTGTGGCCTCTGCCGTTGTGGAGCACAGGCTCCGGACGCGCAGGCTCAGCGGCCATGGCACACGGGCCCAGCCGCTCCGCGGCATGTGGGATCTTCCCGGACCAGGGCGCAAACCTGTGTCCCCTGCATCGGCAGGTGGACTCTCAACCACTGCGCCACCAGGGAAGCACGGCATTATTTTCTTAAAATCAATTTTACAACGAACATTGCTACTTGAACATGCTAAGTTTCTATCAGCACTGGTTTTTTTTTGACCATAGGGAAAAACCTATACTCTGAATACTGAGGTGAGCACATGTAAAACATAAAACCCCAATTAATTCTTTAGCTGATAACTACAAGTGAACTTCTAATTCCCAGGAGGGTGAATCTGAAAGAGACAATAAAGTACTGTCTGGTCCTTTTTATGAGGAATGTTAGTAAAAGGAAAACACGGTTTCTTTTCTATAACCACTATAATTACAGTTATTTTGATACAGACCATAAAATAAAAGTTATAGCTTTTCTGAACGTTATGAAACTGTTGGACCATCACTGGTACATATTAAGACTTACATCTTCTGCCTTTGAGCCTTGATCCTGTAAAGATTTTTGCAATTCTTCGACTTGTGACTGTACTTCTAGAAGTCTTTGATTCACCAGCCTAGAAATCAAAGGTACATTAATTTTCCAAGTTCTGACTAAACTTATGCCTTTTGCCTTAGGTTTTCACATTGGTTAGAGAAACAGTATAATGAGAAAAACAAAGTCTCATGTTATAGTCATAGTAGCTCACTTTTCTGGTTGTTTTTTGTATTGCTTAAAATGTCTATGATGATATCCAATGCAGTGTTTTGGTGGACACATTTTGTTGAGCTGGTATATTTATACACATATATTTATCTGAAATTCACTTCACTATAGGTTTATTCAAACTGAGTGTCAGGCACCACACTCAGCATAGTGCTAACAGACCCTTGCACTCGAATTTAGTGGGGAGACAAAATGTAAAGAAATAAAATACGAGCTAAATACTTCAACAAAGCACACAGAGGTACACACAGGAGTGACGGCTGCTCAGAGAAGCTAGGACTGCACCTAACTGGGTGGAGGAGTTGGGCTTCACTTGAATGGAGACCAGGCAGTAAATAAAACGCTTATGTGGTTAAGGGTGGAAAGGGGATTCAAGACCGAGAATTCAGCATGTCCAAAGCACACAGAAAGGGAGCGGGTATGAGGAGTTCAGGAACTGTATGGCTGAAGACTGAGTTATGAGGCGAAGGAAGGCTGGAGATGAAATCAGAGGAGAAAAGGAGAGGCTGGGACACCCCTCTGAGAAATGCAAATGTATTTTTATTTATCCTATAATCGGGCCTAAAATTTTGTTGGGATGGGAATAGCCCAGCCAGCCTTTAAAAATGCTGATTCTGGAGCTCAATCCCCATAAATTCTCTAGATCATTAGGATGCAACATTCAGGGGACCAGTAGGCCTTGGACGATGTGGAAGGGTCAGACAGTGTTTCAGAAAGATCACGCTGGTGTGAAAGTGGAGGATACCGTCTGGGAAGCCCCACCAGGGCCGGCACAGTGATCACGCCTCCCCCTGAAACAGAAGCCGTCAGAGGCGGGGTGCACAGAAAATGCAAAGGAATACAAGGAGCAAAAAGTAACTTAGGAGTCCAGTCTGAGCTACCAAGGACCATTTACTGAGAAAGGGAATACAGGAGGAGCAGGCTGAGAAAGAAGCACAAAGGACTTCATTTGGTATTTGTCGAAAATGAAGTGATGAGAGATGCCGGTCAAACAGCTGGACACCTGCAGCTGAAGCCTAGCGGGAGGGCTAAGCTGACTCTCCAGACGCAAGAGCCGTTCGGCAATGACTGAAGCCATGAGCATGAGTAACAGTGGCCAGAAAGAACGTGAACCAGCTCGGGGGAGGAACAAGACGGGCCACGGCAGACCACCAAGCAAAGGGCTGAAAGAGGAGCCTCGCCCTGGACAGTAATCTAAGGACTGGGAGAGACACAAGCGAGGGCTGTTCCTGAAACTGAGAACAAGTCTGAGGAAGGGGAAACGATCCACAATGAAAACAGTAAAGAGGGGAGGAGAGATAAAGTCCTAAATTCTCCCACTGGACTGGCTAGTAAGTACTTGAGGGCAATGAATATTTAGAATCCAAATAGCCAAGAAGTTCAGTAAGAAATTTTTTTTACTCAACAAGTGACAAGAAATTCTTACTGTAAACCGCTAGGTTCTATAATTTAGTGAGAATCACAGTAAAAAGGCAATAAATCTATAATAATAACTGATGTTTTTCACACAAAGGAATCTGTTTTTCACTCAGTGAAAGAATTATCTGAAAACTCACATTCAATATGGAACAGAGGTACATAAGTACGTTGCTAACTGTAACTTTGTTTAATCTTCTCAGGAAGCAATATGAAAAATATATCAAACTATGAGACTATTTCAACTATCCATCTTAGACATTTTTGAAATTATTCAGTCAAAAAATATTGTTACTAGGTGGAGGCCATCATAAATGTCATAAAACATAGTCTAACATATAGATTAAAGCATGGAGCATACATGTACACACACATGTATGAACCTATAAAAATATATGTAAATATATATGAAAAAATTTCAACTACAAAATAAATGAGGATTATAATGCTGACCTCATGGGGTTGTTTAGAAAACTGAGATAATATATAAAGGGTGTGCACATAGCAGGTACTCTATAAATGCCTCTACTTTCTTTCTCCCCCTTCAAGGGTTTAGTTAATCAACATTTTAATCCAAGTCTAATTACATATAGTTGTCAAGGGGGTGTAGGGAGAGGGTGAGCTTGAGATCACAACCTACTCTGAGAGGAAAGGGAAGGAGATCACATGTGCTTCCAGAGAGCTCCCCAAGCCGTTCCAGTACGGCTCCACTCTTGACCCTTCATGCCTCTCCTTACAGTGCTTGAGGGTCAACAGGTGTTACAGATTTTAACAAATACCAACTTGTTGGGAAAACTAACTGGAAAGGACTTTGGAGGTTTACTACAAACCTCTCCTTCTAAGGTGACATATGGTGGTGAGCAAATTGTATTTAAGGTCATACAGTTATGAGACTAAGTAGAACTGAAACTCTGCTTTCTTGGTGCTAACCCAGTGCTGTCAAAGAGTAAGAGGTTAAGGTACAGACCAGGTAATGTAAACACTTATTAAACTCAGTAAGAACAAACTTATGATAACTCACTTAAGAGAAAAGCATCCTGTGAGGAGAAGACAGGGAAAAAAACGTTTTATAAATGTGGCAGAAGATAAACTGGCAAGAAAGAGGTTAAGTAGAGCCTTTGGAGTCTGGTAGCCTGGGTCTCAGCCCAAATTCTTACATGTGTAAAACTTTAATAAAGTAAGACCACATGTTTAAAACACTTAGCACAGTGTTTGGAACAACACTGGAACGTGTTTGGAACAGCAGTTTAATAAATGTTAGCTGCTCTTATTACTAGTATTACTGTTACGGATCATAATACCCACAGATGGCAATAATCTAAAGGTAAGTTATCATCAGTGTTGTAATTTAACAAACAAACACAGCTGTGAATAACAGGGATTTAGGAGGTAACCAGTCATCTACATGCACGAGTCCTCTACGAATGACAGCTAGCTGTTCTATTTTGAAGGAGAAAGAGTAATAGCTATAAGGTCTGTGAAAAACAAGGCAAAGTGTTACAGAAAACGTTGTAGGTGTTGATTCACTGATAAGAAATTAGTGTTGGGAGAAGGCTCTCCCCACTAAGATGCTAAAAGACAGTGGAGGCCAAGGATGAAGGGGGTAACTCAAGGTGCCCTCACCATGGGCTCTGCATGGTTGCCTGCTGTCTTCTACAATTCCCATTCCTCCTCCTTCTCTTTTTCCACTTTTTCTAAGTATTTTTTAAAAGTATTCATTATCTATGCTCCTAAGAATTGATATAAAAATGTCTCCTTACGTTTATGCTTAATTATGCTCTAATAATCACCCTGGTATTTACACTGTTTGCTGATTCTCCCTCAGCAGCTTTAAAAATTAAAGTTACAGGAGGAAGGGTAGGATATGTAAAACTATCATAACAATTTTGACTCTCAAGACTGACTCACACCTGGGAAATGCCAAATCAATCAGGCAGAATAAGCAAAGAATCTGTAATATCACATAAACTGTGAAACTATTTATAAAATTGTCAAATCCCTCACAAATGACAGAATATCACAGCTCTAAGAAAAAGAAAAGACATCATATGTCTGGTATTTAAGAAACATTTCCAAAAAGGAAAAGAATGAGAGGATTGTCACAATAAAATATAAAAGTAGCCCTTGCCAGAGCAAGCTACTGGTTTAAAAGTAGTTTGGACAAACTGCCTACTGCAATACTCTTAAAACTTACAAGCAGAAAACTGATGTTTTGTCAAATTTGCAGATTCTAAATTCTCAAAATAATTGAATTGTTCATAAGATGGATGACTTCCTATCAGAGTCACAAGAAACAGATTAAAAAAAAAAAGCCCTATCAATTGAATCATGATGGATCCTACTGTTTTCCTCATACCAGTCAATTCTTTGAAACATTAGCTTGTAAAAACAGGGTAAACTCTACTAATATAAGCATGACTATGAAGTAAAATTGTCTCGAAAGACTGTGAATAAATCATGACTTTTTTTAATCCTCTAGTTTTAATTAGTGATTAAAAAGGGAAAATGGTAGGACTTTGGTATCATTTTGCCAGAAGAGCTAAAGACGGGAATGCTATTACAGAGAGACTATACTTTTGGGCAAATTTGCCCGTAAGTGGAAAAGTGGAAAAAAGTACTCTTGAAATGAAATGGAATAACACACTTTCACTTTTCAAACTCAAACCTTTGTTTAAGGGAATCAAAATCAAGGTAAATAGAGAAAACCAGTGTCTAAGCTGCTGCCACGTGCCTCCTTACCTGTTCTCTGTCTCCAGTTCATTCTTGCGTAGGCTGGCATCATCGAGAAGGCTCTGCAATAAGGTGATTTTTTCATTGTCTGAACCCTCTTGGTTAATTTTTAACATCTTATTCTCATGCTGAAGACGAATAAGTTTCTCCCTGAGAGCAGAAGAAAAACGGATTAACGTAGTTATCAAAATCCAGCTATGCACTGTTACAGATTTAATACATAGAACAGAAATGAAAAACAAAGTACCTGGAAAGAATTTAGCTCCTGTTGTAACTGGCTGAGACACTACATTTCAGGTCTTAAGCACTTTCTTTTTAGAATGGACAATCTGAAGATAACAGAATCCCCATATAGCATGACTTGTAATGAATGAGGTTTCAAAATCCTATTTCCTTTCTGATTTAAGCATTTAAGCTGTGAATGCACCTACATATTTGTTCTTTAGTTCTCGTCAACAAAATATCATCTCTAATGCTATGCTCTTACATTACCAATAATTTGGTGGCAAGATGTAACATTCAACGAAGAATGCCTTCAAGACATACAGTCCATCCATTCCTGTAGATATGGTAAAACTGCAGTCTTATAACAAGACAGATTATCAGAGCCAGGTTACTGGACTGCATTGTTTTGGGCTCTTTGCGTGATGCCAAATGCTTACACTGAGGGATGCTAAAAGCAACAGCCACACAAAACTTGCCACTATGAATACTGCAGGGATGATATAATTGAACATTAATTCACAGGACGATATCATTGAAGATATACGTCTTGAAGATAGAATTCGTCCTTTATGTTAGAGAGGGTCATCTCTAGAGGGCCGCATGAAGAAGATATTACTATCCATACCAGATGCTATGAAAAACTGTGCTTCTCATGGAAAAAGAAAAAAGAAAAGCGAAATATCAAACACACACAAAACATTCTGCTCTTATTTTGTAAACACTGTAAACCTTATAAAGTACTTTAACTTTTGCTATTGAAAAGATGAGAGTCAAATCTGTCACCCAACTCAAGCAGGTACACAGAACTTGATATATTTTGTAAATTGAAAAAAGTGACTTCATCATATTTGTCAATTACAAAGTAAAACAAGCTCATTGTAGGGTGAAAAAAAGATAAATGAGAAGAAAATACAAACCCTCCATAACCCCACAGTGTAAAATAATTACTGTTGAAATACAGCCTTCTAACTTTATGCATACGTACAAACATGCAAACACTTGTAAAAATGAATCTCACAGTACCTGTTACACTGGTATCTGCTATTTACACTTAACTTTTCACAATCTTTTCATAGCATTAAATTTTATACTTTAATATTTTAAATGACATGTTAAAATATATAGACGATCATTATTTAATTCACACCCAATTATCGGGCATTTAGATTATTACCAATTTTGAACTTTAACATGTTATTAATGATTAGCTTTATAAATATCCTTTTGTGTATATCCTTGGGTATTTCCTCAGAATTAATTCTCAGAAAAGTAATTTTTCTGTCAAAAGATAGGCACATTTTTTAGACAACATACACATTCTGCCAAACTGCTCAAAAGTTGTACAACCACAAGAAAAAAAATTTTTTGGTAATTATATGTGGTGATGGATATTAACTAGACTTAATACAGTAATCATTTCACAACATACACACATAGCAAATCATTATGTTGTATACCTAAAGGTGTTACACAGTTATATGTCAATTATACCTCACTTGAAAAAGATTGTATCACTTTAATCTTTTACTCCTAGTGTATGAGGTTTCCAATTTCTCCACACCCTTAACATCAGTGAAAATCATCACTTTTAACAGATTTTGCAAACTGGAAGAGCAAATTTCATTATGCATCAAGAATACTGACCCATTGTCTATGATATACATTGAGAAATTTCATCCTTTGTACTATTTCATTTTCTTGATAGCTCTTCTAGACATATTCTAGACACAGAGAATATTTTCATTTATATTGAGTAATACTCAATAAAACCCATTTTATTTGTTGAGTTTTTCTCATTGTTCTTTTGTCTCAGAACTTAAAAATCTAACTGCATTACCTATAAGCTTCCTTAAAATTTTCTTTTTGGATATAACCATTTATTTATGAATATTCATAAAAATAAGTGTATTTATTCATTCAACAAACTTTATTGGTCCAATAATAAAGTACCATGTCAGATGGCAGAAAAGTAAAAGGTATACAAGATGCTTCCAGAATTGGTGTTCCATTATACACCTTTTGTCTGTCCTTCTTAAACAAATGCCAACAACAAAAAACATTGTCTTTATTTATTCAATAAGTATTTCAATGCCTATTGCAGCTTTCACAGTTTATAAAACTTTTACACAACCATTATTTTAGTTAATACCTCCAAGGATGTTATGAAGAATCAAGGCTAGTGTCAATTTAAAAAGGGGGCAAATTAGCCCAAACAAGGTAAAAGCAATATTCAGGACTACTCATTCACCTTCTGATGGACAGCTGGTGCCTCCCTATCAATTTTTCATTCTTAAACATAAAGGCAGCCATATATTGAAATAAATGGAATATTTAAAATGCTATGACTAAACACAAATGTAAGGTACTACTGAGGGAAGAGTAGTAGAGACATGCTGACATGCTGAAATCATGGACATCTAACCTCGAGTTCGTGTTGAAAGTGTTAGCGATAAAGAAAAGGAACTGGTCCTCTATATTACAGAGGAGTATGTTTCTCCAAGAATATTGTACAGTGTGGCTGTGACCTTCACCATCTCCTTACCTGATTTCAGGTGTGACGATCTCTGCTGCCAGACTATCTGAAGATTCCTGACTTCCCAGAGGCATTAACCCTGTAAACAAACAATCATGGGTGCAAGGTTAAGAGAGGGCACAGCTACCTCCTTTAGTTCCTATATGAACTCCTACTCTGAGCATTAATTTTAACAGCTAAAATCTTTAATTCAAGTAAAAAACCATGTCACAGTTGCCTTACATGATTGCCTTTTACAACATTATTATTCTATCATTTTAACACTTTTTAAGGGTACAATTGAGTGGCACTAAGTCCCATGTTGGCGCTAAGGCACTATGTTGTGGAACCATCACTACTATCTATTCCCAAACTCTTTCATCACTCAAAACATAAATTCTGGAACCATTAAGCAGTAACTCCCCATTACTTTCTCCCTTAGCTCCTCGTAACTTTAATTCCAATTTCTGTCTGTCTAAATGAATTTGCCCATTCTAGACACCTCACACCAATATTTGTCCTTTTGTGTCTGGCTCACTTCATCTAACATAATGTTTTCAATATTCATCTATGTTGCACCATTTATCACAACTTCACTTCTTTATATGGCCAAATAATATCCCATTACACATACATATCACATTTTCTTTATCCATGTATCTGTCTATGGACACATGGGTTGTTCCCACCTTTTGGCTATTGTGAATAATGCTGCTATGAACATTGGTATACCAGGATGTGGTTGAGTCCTTGCTTTGATTCTTTTGTATATACACTTAGGAATGGAATTTCTGGATCATATGGTAACTTTTTAAAGAACCACCAAACTCTTCCGCAGTGGTTGACCCATTTTACGTTCCCACCAGCAAGGCAGGAGGGCTCCGACTTCTCCACACCCTCACCAACACTTGTCACTTTCCTTTTTTTTTTCTGTTTTGATAGTAGCCATCCTAATGGGTGTGAAGTGGTATCTCACTGTGTGTTTGCTTTGCATTTCTCTAATGACTAATGATGTTGAGCACTGTTTCATGTGCTTACTTATCTTCTTTGGAGAAATGTCTATTCAAGTCCTTTGCTTGTCTGTGAACCGCAAAGGACTTCTGCAGTTTCTTTTTGTTGTTGTTGAATTGTAGAAGTTCTTTATACACTCTTGACATCAATCATCTATCAGATAAATGATTTGCAGATATTTTCTCCCATCTTGTGGGTTGCCTTTTCACTATGTTGATAAGTGTTCTTTGAAACACGAAAGTTTTTAATTTTGATGAAATCCAACTTACCCATTATTTTTGTTGCCTGTGCTTTTGGTATCAATTCCAAGGAATCACTGCCAAATCCAACATCATGATGATTTTCCTCTAAGTTTTTTTAAAATTTTATAGCTTTAGCTCTTACATTTAGGTCTCTGATCCATTTTGAGTTCCTTTTTTGTGTATGGTGTAAGGGTCCAACTTCATGCTTTTGGATGTGGACATACAGTTTTCCCAGCACAATCTGTTTGAAAGACTCCTTTCCCCCACTAAGTGGTCTTGACACTCTTGTTGAAAATCAATTTATTGCATATGTGAGGGTTTATTTCTAGGCTCTCTATTCTATTCCACTGGTCTATATATCTGTCCTTATACCTATACATACTGTTTTGATTACTCTAACTTTATACTAAGTTTTGAAATCAGGAAGTATGAGTGCTCAAGCTTTTTTTTTCTTTTTCAAGATTGTTTTAGCTATTCAGGATCCCTTGAGATTCCATATAAATTTTAGTCTGGGTTTTTCTATTTCTGCAAAAAATGCTGTTGGTATTTTGATAAGGACTGCACTGAATCTGTAGGGTTTTTTCAGTATAAATTTATTTATGTTATTTATTTTTGGCTGTGTTGGGTCTTCATTGCCACGTGCAGGCTTTCTCTAGTTGCGGTGAGCGGGGGCTACTCTTGGCTGTGGTGCACGGGCTTCTCATTTTGGTGGCTTTTCTTGTTGTAGAGCATGGGCTCTAGACGCACAGGCTTCAGTAGTTGTGGCTCACAGGCTCTAGAGCGCAGGCTCAGTAGTTGTGGCTCACGGGCTTACTTGCTCCGCGGAACGTGGGATCTTCCCAGACCAGGGCTCGAACCCGTGTCCCCTGCATTGGCAGGCAGATTCTTAACCACTGTGCCACCAGGGAAGCCGCCTGTAGATTGTTTTTGGTAGTACTGTCATCTTAACAATATTAAGCCTTAAATGAACATGGGATATCTTCCCATTTAGGTTTTCTTTAATTTCTTTCAGCAGTGTTTGGTAGTTTTCAAGGTACAAGTGTCTCCCTGGTTAGATTTATTCCCAAGTATTTTATTCTTTTCAATCCTATTGTAAATGGAATTGTTTTCTTAATTTACTTTTCATATTGTTCATTGTTAGTGTATAGAAACGTAACTCATTTTTATGGGTTGATTTTATATCCGGTAAATTTGCTGAATTCATTTTATTAGTTCTCAGAGCTTTTTGTGTGTGTTGTGCGTGTGTAATTTTTAAAGGGTTTCAACATATAGGATCACGTCATCTGCAAACAGAGATGATTTTAGTACTTTCTTTCCAATTTAGATTTTTTTTCTTTGTCTAATTGCTCTGGCTAGAAGATCCTATACTACATTGAACAGAAGTGTAGAAGTGCTGGGAGCAGGCATCACTGTCTTATTCCTGATCTTAGAGGGAAAGCTTTCGGCCTTTCACCACTGTGTATGGAGTTAGCTGTGGGTTTTTCATATGGCCTTTATCAAGTTGTAGAAGTTTCCTTTCTAGTTCTCCTCCTACTCTACTGAGTTTTTTATGATGAAAGGGTGTTGGATTTTGTCAGTTGCCTTTTCTGCAACAGTTGAGATGATCATGTGGTTTTTTCCGCTTCATTCTATTAATGTGGTATATACTACACTGATCTCTATGTCTTCCCATATGTGAGTTTCATGCTGTTCAATCACAGTAGTTTTATAGTAACTTTTGAAATCAGGATGTGTAAGTTCTCCAACTTTTTATTTTTTAAGATTTTTTTTTTTTGGTTATATAGTGGCTCCTTTGTTTTTTATATAAATTGTAGAATCAGCTTGTCAATTTCTACAAAAAAGTCTGCTGAGAATTTGATTGGGATTGCATTGAATCTTTAGACCAATATGAAGAGAACTGTAGTCTTAACTACAGTGCTTTTTCCAACATCTGAATGTGGAATGTCTTTACATTTACTGAGATCTTTAATTTATCTTAGTAATGATTCATAGTTTTCAGTGTAGAAGTCTTGCATTTCTTTGTTAAACCTATCTCTAAGCAGTTTATTCTTTATCATACTATTATAATTTCATTTTCAGATTGTATACTAGTAGTACATAGAAATATAATTGGTATTTGTATACTGATCTTGTATATTGAGACCTTGCTGAACTCATTTATCAGATCTATGATTTTTTACATCCTCTTTTCCTTTCTGGATGCCCTTTATTTCTTTTTCTTGTCTGACTGCACTGGCTAGAACCTCCATGTTGAATAGAAGTGGCAAGACTGAACAGCCTTGCCTTGCTCCTGATCTTAGGGAAAAGCATTTAGTCTTTCATCATTAAGTATGAGGTCAGCTGTAGGATTTTCATAGACGTCCTTTACTAGGCTGCAGAAGTTTCCTTCTATTCCTAGATTGCTAAGAGTGTTTATCATGACATTTACAAAACAGAAACAGACTCACAGACTTAGAGAATGAACTTATGGTTAACAAAGGGGAGAGTGGGGGGGGTGATAAATTAGGAGTTTGGGATTGGCAGATGCAAGCTACTGTGTATAAAACAGAAAAACAAAACAGGAAGCATCTCGAATAAACAACCTAACCGTGCACCTAAAGCAATTAGAGAAAGAAGAACAAAAAAACCCCAAAGTTAGCAGAAGGAAAGAAATCATAAAAATCACATCAGAAATAAATGAAAAAGAAATGAAGGAAACGATAGCAAAGATCAATAAAACTAAAAGCTGGTTCTTTGAGAAGATAAACAAAATTGATAAACCATTAGCCAGACTCATCAAGAAAAAGAGGGAGAGGACTCAAATCAACAGAATTAGAAATGAAAAAGGAGAAGTAACAACTGACACTGCAGAAATACAAAAGATCATGAGGGATTACTACAAGCAACTCTATGCCAATAAAATGGACAATCTGGAAGAAATGGACAAATTCTTAGAAAGGCACACCCTGCCAAGACTGAATCAGGAAGAAATAGAAAATATGAACAGACCAATCACAAACACTGAAATTGAAACTGTGATTAAAAATCTTCCAACAAACAAAAGCCCAGGACCAGATGGCTTCACAGGCGAATTCTATCAAACATTTAGAGAAGAGCTAACACCTATCCTTCTCAAACTCTTCCAAAATATAGCAGAGGGAGGAACACTCCCAAACTCATTCTACGAGGCCACCATCACCTTGATACCAAAACCAGACAAGGATGTCACAAAGAAAGAAAACTACAGGCCAATATCACTGATGAACATAGATGCAAAAATCCTCAACAAAATACTAGCAAACAGAATCCAACAGCACATTAAAAGGATCATACACCATGATCAAGTGGGGTTTATTCCAGGAATGCAAGGATTCTTCAATATACGCAAATCTATCAATGTGATTAACCATATTAACAAATTGAAGGAGAAAAACCATATGATCATCTCAATAGATGCAGAGAAAGCTTTTGACAAAATTCAACACCCATTTATGATAAAAACCCTGCAGAAAGTAGGTGTAGAGGGAACTTTCCTCAATATAATAAAGGCCGTATATGACAAGCCCACAGCCAACATCATCCTCAATGGCGAAAAACTGAAAGCATTTCCACTAAGGTCAGGAACAAGACAAGGTTGCCCACTCTCACCACTCTTATTCAACATAGTTTTGGAAGTTTTAGCCACAGCAATCAGAGAAGAAAAGGAAATAAAAGGAATCCAAATCGGAAAAGAAGAAGTAAAGCTGTCACTGTTTGCAGATGACATGATACTATACATAGAGAATCCTAAAGATGCTACCAGAAAACTACTAGAGCTAATCAATGAATTTGGTAAAGTAGCAGGATACAAAATTAATGCACAGAAATCTCTGGCATTCCTATATACTAACGATGAAAAATCTGAAAGTGAAATCAAGAAAACACTCCCATTTACCATTGCAACAAAAAGAATAAAATATCTAGGAATAAACCTACCTAAGGAGACAAAAGACCTGTATGCAGAAAATTATAAGACACTGATGAAAGAAATTAAAGATGATACAAACAGATGGAGAGATATACCATGTTCTTGGATTGGAAGAATCAACATTGTGAAAATGACTCTACTCCCCAAAGCAATCTATAGATTCAATGCAATCCCTATCAAACTACCACTGGCATTTTTCACAGAACTAGAACAAAAAATTTCACAATTTGTATGGAAACACAAAAGACCCCGAATAGCCAAAGCAATCTTGAGAACAAAAAATGGAGCTGGAGGAATCAGGCTGCCTGACTTCAGACTATACTACAAAGCTACAGTAATCAAGACAGTATGGTACTGGCACAAAAACAGAAAGATAGATCAATGGAATAGGATAGAAAGCCCAGAGATAAACCCATGCACATATGGTCACCTTATCTTTGATAAAGGTGGCAGGAATATACAGTGGAGAAAGGACAGCCCCTTCAATAAGTGGTGCTGGGAAAACTGGACAGGTACATGTAAAAGTATGAGATTAGATCACTCCCTAACACCATACACAAAAATAAGCTCAAAATGGATTAAAGACCTAAATGTAAGGCCAGAAACTATCAAACTCTTAGAGGAAAACATAGGCAGAACACTCTATGACATAAATCACAGCAAGATCCTTCTTGACCCATCTCCTAGAGTAATGGAGATAAAAACAAAAATAAACAAATGGGACCTAATGAAACTTCAAAGCTTTTGCACAGCAAAGGAAACCATAAACAAGACCAAAAGACAGCCCTCAGAATGGGAGAAAATATTTGCAAATGAATCAACTGACAAAGGATTAATCTCTAAAATTTACAGGCAGCTCATGCAGCTCAATAACAAAAAAATAAACAACCCAATCCAAAAATGGGCAGAAGACCTAAATAGACATTTCTCCAAAGAAGATATACAGACTGCCAACAAACACATGAAAGAATGCTCAACATCATTAATCATTAGAGAAATGCAAATCAAAACTACAATGAGATATCATCTCACACCAGTCAGAATGGCCATCATCAAAAAATCTAGAAACAATAAATGCTGGAGAGGGTGTGGAGAAAAGGGAACACTCTTGCACTGCTGGTGGGAATGTGAATTGGTTCAGCCACTATGGAGAACAGTATGGAGGTTCCTTAAAAAACTACAAATAGAACTACCATATGACCCAGCAATCCCACTACTAGGCAAACCCTGAGAAAACCATAATTCAAAAAGAGTCATGTACCAAAATGTTCATTGCAGCTCTATTTACAATAGCCCGGAGATGGAAACAACCTAAGTTTCCATCATGGGATGAATGGATAAAGAAGATGTGGCACATATATACAATGGAATATTACTCAGCCATAAAAAGAAACGAAACTGAGCTATTTGTAATGAGGTGGATAGACCTAGAGTCTGTCATACAGAGTGAAGTAAGTCAGAAAGAGAGAGACAAATTCCATATGCTAACACATATATATGGAATTTAAGAAAAAAAATGTCATGAAGAACCTAGGGGTGAAACAGGAATAAAGACACAGACTTACTAGAGAATGGACTTGAGGATATGGGGAGGGGGAAGGGTAAGCTGTGACAAAGCGAGAGAGAGGCATGGACATATATATAGTACCAAACATAAGGTAGATAGCTAGTGGGAAGTAGCCACATAGCACAGGGAGATCAGCTCGGTGCTTTGTGACCGCCTGGAGCAGTGGGATAGGGTGGGTGAGAGGGAGGGAGACGCAAGCGGGAAGAGATATGGGGTACCAAACATAAGGTAGATAGCTAGTGGGAAGTAGCCACATAGCACAGGGAGATCAGCTCGGTGCTTTGTGACCGCCTGGAGCAGTGGGATAGGGTGGGTGAGAGGGAGGGAGACGCAAGCGGGAAGAGATATGGGAACATATGTATATATGTATAACTGATTCATTTTGTTGTGAAGCTGAAACTAACATACCATTGTAAAGCAATTATACTCCAATAAAGATGTTAAAAAAAACCAAAACAGATAAACAACAAGGTCCTGCTGTATAGCAAAGGGAAGTACATTCAATATCTTGTAATAAACCATAATGGAAAAGAATACAAAAGAGAATGTACATAAATGTATAAATGAATTGCTTTGCTGTCCACCAGAAACTAACACAACATTGTAAATTAACCATACTTCAATTAAAAAAAATTTTGAAAAAAGAATGTTTATCACAAATGGTGCCACCTACTTTTTCAACTTAATGATATAACATACCGAGCCCTCCACATCAGGCATATATAAGATATACTTCATTCTTTTTAATGGCTCTAAAGTATACAGCTGAATGAGAATGCCATTCCTGTACTGCTGAACTTTTATGGTGGTTCTAAATTTCACTATTATAAATGATGTTTTAGTTCATAGGGTAAATTTTTAGAGCAAAAATGCTAGCTCAAGGATATATACATGAGGGACTTCCCTGGTGGCGCAGTGGTTAAGACTGTGTGCTCCCAATGCAGAGGGCCTGGGTTTGATCCCTGGCCAAGGAACTAGATCCCACATGCATGCCACAACTAAGAGTTCGCATGCCACACTTAAGGAGCCGGTCTGCTGCCACTAAGACCTGGTGCAACCAAATAAATAAATATCAAAAGAAAAAAAGGATATATACACGAATAAGGTTTAAAGGTAATAAAGAAACACGTGAAAGCTTACATAAGATGGCCTCCCTTTTCTTGATGATACAGGACCTAAGAATTAAAGCATTACGGTTCAAGGCTAGATTCTCAAAATTTGGGGAAAACTCATGTAGAATTGACTAGAGATACATGAAAGGACTACCAAGCAGCAACAAGGATCCAATTATGATCAGAAATAATTTGTTTTTTGGTGAGGACAGTCAAGAAAGATGTATAATTTTCTGAAAAGCAAAAATAAACAAGTGGAACTACATCAAACTAAAAAGCTTCTGCACAGCACAGGAAACCATGAAAAAAATGAAAAGGCAACTTACCAAATGGAAGAAAATATTTGCAAATCAGTTATCTGATCAGGGGTTAATATCCAAAATATATAAAGAACTCATATAACTCAACAGCAAAAAACCCCAAACAATCCAATTAAAAAATGGGCAAAGGATCTGAATAGACATTTTCCCAAAGAAGATATACAAATAGCCAACAGGTACACAAAAAAGGCTCAATATCACTAATCACCAGGGAAATACAAATCAAAACCACAATGAGCTATCACCCCACACTTGTTAAAACAGCTATTATTACAGACACCAGAAATAACAAGTGTTGGTGAGTATGTGGAGAAAAGGGAGCCCTTGCGCCCAGTTGATGAGAACATAAATCGGTGCAGCTGCTATGGAGAAGAGAGCTGGGGCATGGGGGTGGGCTAAATGGGTGAAGGGGGTCAAAAGGTCCAAACTTCCAGGTATAAAATAAATAAGTCACGTGGATGTAATGTATAGCATGGTGTACATAATAATACAGTATTGTATATCTGAAAGTCACTAAGAGAGTAGATCTTAAAAGTGATCACAAGAAAAAAATGTTTTTCAACTATGTATGGGGACAGATGTTAGCTAACTAGACTTACTATAGTGACCATTTTGCAATACATACAAATATCGAATCATACTGTACATGTGAAACTAAGAGTATAATATTATATGTCAATTATACCTCAGTAAACAAAAAAGAAAAGGAAAAAAACAGAAAGATACATAATTTCTTTTAGCTGGCCTTGGTAATCTGGAGTACAGAATAAAACTAATTAGGGCTTGAAATAAGTCAAGAGGATAAGGAAAGACAGTGGTGATGAGAACACAGTTGAAATGGCTGGTATGCAGGCTGGGTGAGCTGGAAAAGGTGGTGATCAGTAGACGATCAGCAGAGACTACAGAGGGGGCTGAAGGTGGATGGAGCAGATGAGCAGGTTTGGTAGAAGGATTGGGGAGGGGAAAAGGAGGTTGTAGTCAGAGGAAAAGAAAAATTCTAGTCTCAGGTAACTGAAAAGCCAAGGGCTGGTAGTCGGAGTGGGAGTGAACAGAGGGTGAAGCTCTGTAAGTCAGCAACCAGGTCCTGCATCCCTCGAGTGGTAGAAGGTAAACCCTTAATTAAGTGCTGCTCCTTTCCTGTGAGAAGGAGAAGGTTTCTACTTTGGCTGTTAAGTCCCTTAGTGAATTGATACCCACCTCACATCTCAGCTGAGAAAAATCACTGATTTAGAAAGTCTGATACACTTTTAAAGAGGTCACTAAAAACTTTTCAGGTGTATTATTAACAGAGATGGTTTAACAAATGTTTATGCTTTTGATTTAATAAAACCCAAACATTTAAATATAATTAAAATTAAAAAGTAGGCAAGCAAATCCAGTCCCGTAAGTACAGTCATAAAATCTGGTTAACAGTTCAAAATCTGTATGAATCTCGTGGCCTCTTTACCAAATTCAAGTTCTCGTCTTTGGCGCAATCATCTTAAAATGAATCTAATATTTTTCCTGATACTATCAGAAATAAGTAACCTTGCTTGGGCTACTGAAATGTTGTTACCTTGAGTTGTGAGCTGCCCTTCTTGAGCCTGAACACAACGAAGCTCTTCGATGGTTTCCTTCAGAGAATCCCTTTCTGTTCTTAACCTCTGGAGGGACATTAAGAATGAGGAAAGTTAGCTTCAAGCTTTATGAGTTTACTCATCAGTGGTCTTTGCCTTACCTAACAGAATGATAAACAGTGGTGAACATGGACATGTTACACCATTTGACCTTCTACAGAAAGATCACAGAAGGAAACGATTACACGATTTTTTTCCCATTTAACAATATTGAGTATCTACTACGTGCAAGGCAGGATCCTATCCAGTTAATCATAAGAAACAAAACCACCTACTCCATCTTTAACAATGAGTACCTTATTATGTAAATAACTTTCTTTTCATGAAACATAAAAGATCAAACAACATAAGTCACGACAAAGTAAAAGTATTTTAAAAAGCTTCAAAATATGCTGAAATATTCATAAATCATGTATATTCATAAATCATGACAAAGTAAAAGTATTTTAAAAAGCTTCAAAATATCCTGAACAATAACAAGAAGAATTGTGTCTTCATACAGAAATCAGAAAAGCTACATAAATTTCTAGAAAGTCACAAGCAAGATGAAGGAAAAGAAGCAACAGTGATAGAAAAGTTAAATATATAAAAAAGAAATTAGAATAGCAATCTTTTACTTTAGATCTATTTCTGAAGCACAAATGTAAATCTTCTATAATTAGAAAAAAAAGATCTCAAATTTATAAATAGAAGCAGAAATTAATGTAGGCAAAACATGAATTAAATATCATTTTCTTAATCTCAGCACTGCTCAAAACCAAAATACCTAATATATATACTCACATCCTTTTCCTTTTGAAGACTGTCAACTTTTTCTTTTAGCCGTTTATATTCAAAATCTAATTTATCTGCTTTCTTCGATTCTTCAGATAATCTATTTTGCAGTTCTACTACCTGTATAGAAAGGTACCATTAATTTTTATAATTTGAAACATTAGAAATTATTATTATTTTCTTCTACAGATCCATGAAAATTCTCTCCCCCCAAAATACTCAAAAAAACACACATGATACGGGAGCCTAACCCAATGGAGAGAACCAGGTACAAAAATCTGCCCAGATACTATGGGTTCTAAAATCAGATCATCCAGAGGAACAAATGTTCAAAACTATGAAAACCTACAGGACTTCCACTTCCTGTAACACAGGAAACTACAGTCTGGAAACCCTTTGAGCATGAAGCAAAAGAAATGCTAGGGGAAAAGAATACAACTGCATCTCTAGGCTTATAACAAAGTAAGGGAAATCCTCAGGGGTTAAAAGTGGAGCAGGAAGTTTGTGAGGATGCTATGGGCAGTGTGAGATGCCACCCAGCAATACCAAGAACCCAGGCCTTTAAAATTATCGGGAGACAGGCTGCTGTTAAACTACCTTGGACTCTAATAAAAGGTGGTGAGTCAGTAAACAGGTAGGTTAGGGAAAAAAAATCCATCAGCTGGCAAAATCAATAAGGAAACTTGCCCATCTTAAAGTGAGCGTTCTGGGCTTTAAGAAGTGTAACTTGAAAATGTGTTAAGAAGCCTGCAAATGCATGGATTTATGCTTGAATTTTTACCACACACCTTGTCTGGCAAATCCTAAGCCAAGCAATTAATTTAAATTCGTCCTGATTGGTGCTGTGGAAAATCTGGCATAAGAAAAACATACATTGTCTGGAGGAACACAACCTCAACCAGGTCCCCAGTATTCCCAAAGGTAAAGATGAGCCAAATGACAGAGCAAAATCTAAAATTACAAAAGTCTTAAAGAAACAACTACAAACACTATGAACAACAGTCAGCAGAAAAACATTAACAGCACTAACAACAATAAAATAGTAGAATAAGACCTCTAAGGATTTCAAATTGGAGTTACCAGACATAAAATACTAGGTTTAATACTTAAAGAAATTAAATAAAGAAATCTAAATTATAAAAGGAAAAAAAGACCACCAAATATGATCAAGCAGGTTTGAAAGAGCATGCAAAGAGAAACTGCAGAAAGAAAAATATTATACTGAAAAATAAAATATGTTAAGCTCCAGATCAGAAACAGATAATTAGTGTATTACACAATTTCACTACAATAATTGTAAGTGCAGATTTCTTTTTTATTTATTCTGTTTGTAATTCACTGTTAATACTAAATCTGATGCCCTTCATCAATTCTGAAAAATATTCAGCCATTCTTTCCTTCAAATAATGTCCTACAATTCTTTCCATTCTTTCCTCTGGAACTCTAATTAAATCATTTCTTATTTTAATTTTATACCCTTTAATCACATTTATAGTTTCTTTGGGCTACATTTATTTTTGGTAATTTCTCAGTTCAACTTTGTTATATGTTGAAAATTTTCATAATGAAATGTTGGGAAAAAATGTATTCACCAAAAAAACCTTGCCAGACATTCATGGTGTACAGGGTTGCTCTACTAAAACTTCTCTAATTTATTATATTAAGCTAGTACAATTTTTTTTGTGTGTGTGTGGTATGTGGGCCTCTCTCCCTGTTGTGGCCTCTCCCGCTGTGGAGCACAGGCTCCAGACGTGCAGGCTCAGCGGCCATGGCTTACGGGCCTAGCTGCTCCGCAGCATGTGGGATCTTCCTGGACCAGGGCATGAACCCGTGTCCCCTGCATCGGCAGGTGGACTCTCAACCACTGTGCCACCAGGGAAGCCCGTAAGCTAGTAAAATTTTGATGCCAAAATCAGAAGACAAGGAAAGCACGACATAGAAAACTTTAAGTAAACAAATCATAGAGGCAAAATATTCCAAGTAAAATGAACAAAGCAAATCTAACTATATGAAACCACAAATAAATCTGCTATGACTAAACTAAGTTTATCTCAGGAATGCAAGGATGGTTTAAACATAGAAATCCATTAATATAATTCATCAGATTAATAGAAAGAAGCAGCAGCATAGGAGTCTCTCAATAGGTGTAGCTGATTAAATTCAACATCCATTTAAGATAAACACCTGTGCAAATTAGGAATACAATGAAATTTTGTTATCCTAATGAAAGGTGGCTACAAAACCTATAGCAATCCTTATAATATACTGGTAAAACATTTAAAGCATTGTGTATGAAATCAACAAGAAATGGTTGCCTATTATTATTGCTTCTATTAAAGGCTGTACTAAAGGTCAGCCATGTTGATTAAGAAGAAAAAAGGGTATGCCATAGAAAGAAACAAAATGGCTTTTATGTGTACAAAATATGACTTCTGCCAAAAGAACTAACAGACATTATTAGAAATAATATGGGAATTTGGCAAGATTGTAAAATCAACATATAAAAACCAATTTAATCACATAAATGAGCAACACACTGAAAATGGTATCTTTTCTTTTTCTAACTGCATTTACAAAAGCAACCAAATATATAAAGTACTAAGAGTAACTATAACAAAATATGTGCATATTTATAAGAAAATTATAAAACTTAATTGAAAGACACTGAAGATCTAAATAAATGTCAAGATACTATATTCACTGATAGGAACATTTACTGTCATAAAGATGTCAATTCTCCCTAAACTGATCAACAGATTCAATGTAATTCCAATTTCCAAAGATTTGGGGTTTTAAAGGGAACGGAAAGGTCCAAGAATAGACAAACAATTTTGAAAAAGAACAGGGTGCGGGTATCTGTACTACCCAAATATCAAAATTACTAAAGATCTATAGATGATAAGAGAGTGTTTTGGTGTTAGAGTAGACAAACAGACCAATGAAACAGAAGAGATCACCATAAACAAACCCACATATAACATGGTAACTTTAGATATATGATAAGATAGAATTGTAGGGCACTTCAGAAGAGACTGATTATTAAATAAAAGCTGCTAGGTTGACTGGTTGTCCACAAAGATGAAAAATATCAAATGGCTCCCTACCTCACACCCTATATGAAAATCAATTTCTTATGGATTAAAGACCTAAATGTACAAAACAAACTTTAAACCTCTGTAAAGAAAACAGAGATTAGTGTTACATCTTTATGTAGGAAATGACTTCTTAACTGAGACACAAAAAGCACAAATCATACACCTGAAACTAACAAAACACTGTAAATCAACTATACTCCAATAAAATTTTTTTTAAAAAAGCACAAATCATAAAGAAAAAGGTATTTAAAGTTCATCATGTTAAAATTATCAATCTCAAAAAAAGTAAAAGGACAGGTCACAGACTGCTAGGAAATAAAGGCAACATGTGACAAAAGATTAATACCAGGAACAAATAAAGAACTTTCAGAATCAATAAAAGAAATAATCCAACTTTAAAAATGAATAAAAGATAAAAATAGGCAATTCACAAAAGAAATGTGATCAGTAAATATATTTGCAATTAGGGTAACGCAAAGTATAATCATAATGAGACATCATTTCAAATCCATCCTTCAACTGGCAAAATTTCAAGTCTGATAATACTATGTGTTGGTGATGATGTGGAGCAACAAGAATTCATACAAACTGCCTGCTGGTAATAAAATCACAGTGGAGGACATTTGGCAATATCTAATTAAATGAAGACTCTCTAAGGAAGATATTCCACATAGTTGTAAAACTTCCACACATGTATCGAAGAGGACATGTTCAGTACTATTCACAGTGGGCTTTCTTGCAATATTAAAGAAAAAGACAAAACATCCTATATGTCCTTCTCCAGAAAAATGGATAAATGTGGTACTGTCACTCAGCAGGATACTACAGATTGGTACAAGTGAATGGGATAAAGCTACAACTATCAACAAAACAAATCTCACAAACACCACTGAGCAAAAGCAAATCGCAGAAGAGAACTTCCACTATATCATTATATAAAGTTTTGAAATGTCAAAAGTGTTATAAGTTTTTAGGGATACACACACACATATATGTAAGTGTGTGTGTATGTGCAGGGAAGAATAAAGAGATGCGTAGGCACAAAACCCACAAAATAGGCTAGTGGTTACTGCAATGAGGAGGGGGAGAGTGTTCTGTTTATTAAGCATGGATACTTACTGTATTATTTTTTTACTTTTGTGTATTTCTCAAGTATTACACAATAAACTAAAAATAATAAATAATAAAAGGATCTGCTATAGAGACCAATCAATAAGCTCTGGATAAGAACTAAGTTTCATAGGTGAAAAACCAAATACCATGAAAACAAGTCAGTGGACTCTGATAAGCCAGCGTTACACTGGAGAGCTCAGCTGGAAACGGCGTTAAGAAATTGTGCTGCTCTCCTTACCTGTCTCTTATACGTCTCGAGTTGACTTCGAGCCGCGTTGGCTTTTCTCAGCTCCTCCTCTAGGCTAACTGTGTTCTGCATATACATAGTATTCTTCTCTTCTAAGAGTTTAACCTGACGCCTCAAATCACCAAGATCTTCTAGCTTCTTTTTATATGATTCCACTTGGCCTTCTAGTTTAGACACTTTATCAGAAGAATGTCTAGAATGAGATGGGAAACCAGAAATCACACACACATCCGCAATGGTAAAGCTGCTGTAGACAGTGCTAAACCAAGCGGATTGCCAGGAAGTAACACGTTCTAATGAAATTATAAGACCAAAGGTGAGTCCAGCTTAGTTTTTTGTGCAGGTTCAAAAGTATGACCAAAATTACAGCAAAACTTATAATAGACAACATTATAAAATTTAAGGAATGCAAGTAGGATGGGGTAGCCAACAGAGTCGCATGTAGCACAAAAGCAAAATAAATTGTACACTGTCCAAATAATTTGGCAATTAGGCTGTTATTAGTGACCAGAGGAACAGCTGTTTTGGTGGAGCAGTGGGGCAGGCGGTGGTGAATTTTAGTGGGTTAAGGAAAGAATGTAAACTTTACCTTGTGTAATCTAAATTTGTTCTGGAGGGAAGGAGAGAATAATAGGTCTCTCACTTTTTCTAAGATAAGAGGGACAGAAACATATAAATGTATGCTAAGGAGGCAGATTCAAATGTGAAGGGAAATGATAACTGGTGTAGCACAGTCCCTGCAGAAGCAAGAAGGGTTGAGACCCAGAGCATTGAAGGAATTAGCACTGGACAGGAGGACGAGTAACAGGTCTGCACTCTAGAAGCAAAAGAGGAAAGATGGGCGCGAATGCAGGAGACACAGCACATGGAGGGTCCATAGGTCATGGCCTCGTTCCTCAATGCAGGAGACAATGTCATCTACTGAGACTGAAGCACAGGAGACGTGTGGTGGGGGGCAGTCAGGTGAGAAGAGTTATGAAAATACGTAGCAGCCATGAGAGAAACGGGGTACAGAGCAATCTATGGATGAGCAGTAGAACAGTGGACCAGTGCTAGGAGCCCACACGGATGGGCAGTAGAACGGTGGACCAGTGGGAGGAGCCCACACGGATGGGCAGTAGAATGGTGGACCAGTGGGAGGGGCCCACGCGGATGGGCAGTAGAGCGGTGGACCAGTGGGAGGGGCCCACACGGATGGGCAGTAGAGCGGTGGACCAGTGGGAGGGGCCCAGTGGAGAGTAAGATCACTAGTCTGCAGTAGGACAAAACTACCTCACTATGTGATTTTCCCTGTTTGTTCTCAGCATTCAAAGAGCAAACGCATAAAACATAGATGGTTGTAATGATCCAACACAGGATAGATTACACAAGCGGAATGGTGCAGAAACGAGGTGGCAGGGAGTGAGGTGCCCAGTGAGAGAACAGTTGAGTCCAGCAAGGAGATGAGCCATGTGTGTGGGTGTGACAGTATCCGAGAAAGAGGAAGACCAAGTGATTGAAGGATGCAAAATCAAAGAACAGGAGTAGTAATGAGAAAAGCTCAGAGCTACGCAAGTATGAAGTGGTGGCCAGAGGTTAATTTCTATTTAACAAACATTTATATACAGCACTTATTTGCCAGATACTGTTCCAAGTGCTTACAAATATCACCTCACTTAATTCCACATGTCAGTCTGAGGTAGGTATGTGTGTTATTTCCATTTTACAGATGAGAAAATGGTTCCATAGAGGTTGACTAAACGGCAGCACTGGGATCTGAACCCATCTTCCTGTGCTCAAAGACCCTAGAGTTTGTAACGTCGGTGGCAGAACTGTTCTGGGGGATCACAGGTGTGAGATTCTACAGAGATGGGAAGGTTGCCTACCTAAGAACGTCTATTTCATCTTTTAGAGACTGAGCGTCATCTGCCAAAGTGGTCAGTTCATCGTTCTGCTGCCGAAGTTCAGACATCTCCTTTTGTAACTCTTCACAGCGTATTCGATAGTCATCTTTGGCTGCTTCAAGTCTGTAACGGAAACAAAACAGACCAAGAAAGCACTATTTACTGTCTAATAATTCTCCTTAGAACAGGAAAAGTAAGTAAAAAACATGAAAATAAATTCTTCTTGGATTTGTCTCCTACTTTTGTGACCATATACTGTATTTCCAAGTTCTAACTATCCTGGAAACGGATTCTACTGCTCCAAGACTTGCAGAAAGGTAACAACGGATTGCCATTCCTCTACTCAGAAAGTTAGACACCAAAATATAGCAGCTATAATTTATTTAAAGTTTTATTTTCAATGATGAAATTAATACATATTCCTTTTGAAAATTCACAAGATGCAGAAAAGCAAAGAAGATAAAAATTATTATGCATTGCTCTAGACAGATACCTACTGTTAACATTTTTGGAGTATAACCTCCAGTCTGATTTCTATTCATAGATCTTTTCCCCCTAAAATATGGATAATATTGTTCCTAATTTATATTAATTTGTTTTGTTTAACATACATCCTTCCTTTGGATTTAAAAGATTCTTTCTCATGTCACAAATATTTATCATTGATTATTTACTTTTTTAATTTTTTTTTTGCGGTACGCGGGCCTCTCACTGTTGTGGCCTCTCCCATTGTGGAGCACAGGTTCCGGATGCACAGGCTCGGCGGCCATGGCTCACGGGCCCAGCCGCTCCACGGCATATGCGATCTTCCCGGACCGGGGCACGAACCCGTGTCCCCTGCATCGGCAGGCAGACTCTCAACCACTGTGCCACCAGGGAAGCCCTATTTACTTTTAATTTTATTTATGTAAGTATTTAATGTACAGAAATTCTTTTTATGTAATTCAATTGATGAATCTTACACTTTATAGTTTCTACTTCTTTTAATTTTTTTTAAACTTTTTATTTTATGTTGGGGTATAGCCAGTTATCAATGTTGTGATGGTTCCAGGTGCCCAGCAAAGTGACTCAGCCATACATATACAGGTATTCATTCTCTCCCAAACTGCCCTCTCATCCAGGCTGCTACACAACACTCTCAACCTGTGCCACCAGGGAAGCCCTATTTACTTTTAATTTTATTTATGTAAGTATTTAATGTACAGAAATTCTTTTTATGTAATTCAATTGATGAATCTTACACTTTATAGTTTCTACTTCTTTTAATTTTTTTTAAACTTTTTATTTTATGTTGGGGTATAGCCAGTTATCAATGTTGTGATGGTTCCAGGTGCCCAGCAAAGTGACTCAGCCATACATATACAGGTATTCATTCTCTCCCAAACTGCCCTCTCATCCAGGCTGCTACACAACATTGAGCAGAGTTCCCTGTGCTCTAAAGTAGGTCCTTGTTGGTTATCCACTTTAAATATGACACTGTGTATACATGTTGATCCCAAACTCCCTAACTATCCCTTCCCCCGACCCTTTCCCCTTGGTAACCATAAGTTCTCTAAATCTTTGAGTCTGTTTCTGGTTTGTAAATGAGTTCATTTCTATCATTTCTTTTTAGATTCCCCATGTAAGTATAGTTTCTACTTCTAATGTGCAATTAGAACTTTTTTTTCCTTCTAATTCTTTGTTTTCTGTTAGTATTTATACAGTTTCATTTTTAACATTAACGTTTTCAATTTCCCTGGAATTCATTTGGGTATACGACGTAGCACAGGAATCTAACTTTTCCTGCCAAAATATCTACCAACCATTCCAAAACTGTTTAACAAATAATTTAACCTTTCCCTATTGATTAGAAAATGCCATCTTTATCACATTACGTATTTTTATATATACTTGGACTGGTTTCTGGATCTTCATTTGTGTCATTGGTGTCTATTTTGCTGCACTGGTACCAAGCTATTTTCATTAGTATATATATTAGTACTTGGGTGTGGCCAGTATTCCCTCATTATACTTTGTTCTCAAAACGTTTTGGGAATCTCTTGTTCATTAATACTTCTAGATGAACATAAAATTTGAATTGGAATCAAGTTCAAATTATATAAATTAAGAAAAAAATGGCATTCTTATAATGTTCCATTAAAAACACCTAAAAATATGTTCTCTCTCTCCACACAGTATTATGTTTTATGTATAACTTAGAAGTTTTTGTCATCTAACTCCTTCATATTACTTAAATTTTTTTTTTTTTTTTTTTTGCGGTACGCGGGCCTCTCACTGTTGTGGCCTCTCCCGTTGTGGAGCACAGGCTCCGGACGCACAGGCTCAGCGGCCATGGCTCACGGGCCTAGCCGCTCCGCGGCATGTGGGATCTTCCCGGACCGGGGCACGAACCCGTGTCCCCTGCATCGGCAGGCGGACTCTCAACCACTGCGCCACCAGGGAAGCCCGTACTTAATTTTTTTTTTTATTCTTCACTTAAATACTTATAAATGCAAGTTTTTCCTGATGATACTAACTAGTTATTGGTAAAAAAAAACTTATGACCTATGCAGCAGTCTTACATTACCCTCTCCCTGTTAAATGTTTATTGGTTCTAAGAACTTCTGAGTTAATTCTCTTACATTTTCTGGGTGGACACACATATTATCTACAAATAATCATCGTTTATTGATACTTTTTGTCTTCCCAATATTTTAATCTCATTTCTTTTTCTTATTTCATTTTCTAGAAAAGTAATAACAGCAAAATCTTATATAGCATCTATGTGCCAGGCAATATTCTCAAAATACTTTATATATATTAACTCATTTAATGCTCACAAAAATTCTAGAAGGTAGATAATACTATTATACCATCTTATAGTAGAGAAAATGGAGGCATGCCCAAGGTTACACAGCTAGTAAGTGGCAAAGCCAGGAGTTTTAGAATGTCTAGGAAAATGTCAAATAATAGATTAATAATCATCCTCATTTCATTCTTAACTTTGCTAAGAATTTCATGTACCAAGTTTATTTTATATTTTTCTTTCTCCTTTAACTTATGGATTGGAGGAGTTATAATACATTTAATAGTTACTGTAATAGATTTAATAATACTCAACAGGTTAACAATCCTGAGATAAAGCTTACTCTAGTCCTGGATTGAATTTGCTACTATCTTATTCAGGAATTATTTAAAGAATACTCATAAATGAGATGTCAGTCATTTGAAAATAATAGTAATAAACCCATTATCTTAATATAGACAACATACTGTTTATGAAAACTTTATTTTCTAAAACCAAAAAATGGTGAGAAGAGTGGCAATATATTTTATATTCTGTGACTCAAATCATCTGGTTTAGTAGAAGACAGCTGGGTTCCCATAGGTGTTTCTACACTGGTCTGCTGTGATGGTTTTTTGGCTGTGGTATATGAAGGAGATCCAGCCAAGCACAGAAATGCGGTTGGAAAAGAGAGGGCCCTGAAGACTCTCTGAGAGGGTCCTCGGATCACACTCTGAACCACAGATGTAGACCATAGGGGATGGATTGTTTTTCTAAGGTTTCTGAGAAGACTAAGAAAATTTTTTTATTTTTTCCTGTCAAGGCCAAAAAAAAAAAAAAAAAATGCAGAAACATTTCATGGGGAAACAAAGGACTGAGTCACTGCACAAGTAAACAAAACCTAACTGATATTTAATTTCTCCCAGTTTTGACACTGAAAATCTATGGTTGGGTAAGAAACAGGCCAGGATATGTTTTCTAGTAAATCACAACACAATATTTTATCATACTGCCAAGTCCTTCAACTTTGGGGTTCTATTGTGTCTTGCAGGACACCAAATTTTTCCTTTTCTTCTTTTCCCTTTCACCATCCAATCGCCAGTGGACCCTCTTCCTTCTTTTTGGCCTTTTCCTCTCCCAGAAGATGTGTCTGGAAGACTGCCCCTTTACATCAGCTCGCCCTTTAAATAGGCTTGTCTCTATAACCCACGCACCTGGCCTTTATTTTGTGTTTCTTTAAACTGTGCACTGGAAAGGGCACCAATCTCTAAATTCCATGCCTGTGTATTTTTTTGGCATCTGGCCCTTTAAGAAGATACACTTACTTTGAATTCCTATCCCTGCAGTTTGTGATCTAATTTCCTTTTTTGTTTTAAAGTAATTTCTGATTTTGAGTGAATTTAATCTTTCCAGCGACTGCTCCAACTCACCCTCAGGCCCCTTCGCTAGTTCTTCCTCTGTCTCTGATTTTTTTCTCTGTCTGCCTTTACTTGCCTCAGAGTGCCTGGCAGGATGGAGGTGGGCTGGTGTTTGCTTCCTTCCTTTCACTCACAGTTATTGTTCAGTTGGGGCATTCTGTCTGCAAGTCATACTGAGGGTGAGCAGTGATAGATTTTCCTAAATGAGCAGTTATTTCATGTCGTGTGGGAAGACTTTTGGAAAGTGGCTAATTGCACAGCCTCCTTGGCCTGCAGTTACCTGAAAGTCCTAACACTATATTCTTAACTTTAAAAGACATTACCCTGTGCACCGCAACAAAGAGTAGCCCCCGCTCGCCGCAACTAGAGAAAGCCCGCACACAGCAATGAAGACCCAACCCAGCCAAAAATAAATAGAATAAATTTATATATATAAAAAAAGACATTACCAAATCTAAAAAAATGAGATCTGAGTGAGCTGTCCCTTACCTGAATGTTTCTTCTTGGAGCTGTTCTAACTGAGTCTGGAGCTGCAGATGCCTTCTTCCTGCTGGACTGTTAGGATCTTCTATAGAATCAGACTGATTCAGCCTTTCCATTAATACCTGATTCTCTGCCAACAGACTACTTTTCTCCTCTTGCAATGCTGCAACCTGTTAGAATATAGGAAGACAGTGGTTATTTTCTCCAGTTACACTGGAATCCGCATAACCACTTGTGAATTACCATTAAGAAATAAAGCCTGTTTTTAAAGAAGTACAAGCAACCTCCACTTAAAACACTGACATTATTTTGGAATATTGCACAGGCAGAGCAGTACATAAAAGTAAGCAAGAATTCATTCTTTATTTTACATTTGAAAAGGTAATTCACCAAAGAAGATATGTAATGGCAACTAAGCACACAAAAAGATACTCATGACTAGTCATTAAGGAAATGCAAATTGAAACCACAATGTTATATCCATACACTTACTCCCACTAGAATGCCAAAAATCAGAGAGACTGGCTGTACCAAGTGTTGGTAAAGATGAAAACAGAGGGGAGCTTCACAAACCTGTTTAGCACGTGAAATGTTCCACAGGCTGTGAAAAACCGGTTCGCATTTTCCTAAAAAAATTAAACATGCAACTACCACATAACCCAGACATTTTACACTTAGGTATTTATTTACCAAAGAGAACTAAAAGCATATGTCCACACAGAGACGTAGAATGTTTATAGCAGCTTCATTTGTAATACAGAAAAACAAATGTTGACCAGTAGGTGAATGGATAAATAAATTGCAGCACATCCATACAACAGAATACTATTTGACAATACAAAAGAATTAACTATTAATACCGATAACATGAATGAATCTCAAAATAATGAAAGAAGCCAGGCAGAAAAAGAGTACACTGTGTATGACTCCTTTCATATGCAATTCTAGAAGATACAAGCTAATTTACAGTGACAGAAAGCAGAGCCGGGACTGGAAGAGGATTACAGAGAGTCATGAGAACTCACTATCCTGATTGTGGTGATGGTTTCGCACGTTTATACATGTCAACATGCATCAGAACTGTACACTTTAAAGATGAGCAGTTTGTTGTATGTCAACTACATCTCAAAAAACTGTAACAACAGAAGTCGCCTGCCATTTCTGATTCTCCCTCTCCACCCCCATTTTCTCTGGAACTTGTTCCAGTTGGGCTATTGCCCCACCATCCTCAGGATCAGCCGACCTTGGCTTCTGTGGCTCCCAGGACACCTCCCTCTCCTGATCTGTGTGCCTCCTCTTTACTCCAGTCAAGCCCTCTTCATCTCCCTGCCTCTGGCACACGCATGGCTTTTCCTTTCTAAATACACTGATGGCTTCCAGCTTCTGGGCTGTCAACACCATTTATTCACTGACAGCTTGCATGTTTCTATTTCCAGCCTGGAACCCTGCACTGGGTATCACGTCCACCTGGACGTCCACTAGGCGTCTGAATTTAACCTGTCCAGGTGGGACTCTCATTCCCCCACACCCTGCCCCGCTCCCCCACACCCCACCCCGCCCTCCCACTGTCTTCCCCATCTCAGCGATGCTAACTCTGTCCTTCCACTTGCTCTGGCAGGATCCGTCCCATCTCGTCCTCACACCCACGCCCACTCTTTCAGCAAACATCAGCGGCTCCGCTTTCAGACGGATTTCAACCACTTCTAACCGCCTCTCAATTCTGATTTAAGCCAACCTAATTTTTTGCCTGATTATTGCGAAGGCCTCTGAATTAGTCTCCTTGAGTTGGCCCTCACCTCCACCCAGCAGCCGCCATAATCCATTAAAATAAAACTCGGATCACAGGAGTCTTTGCTCACAAGCCTCCAACGACTTCCCATTTATTTACTCAGCCTGTACCAAGGCCTGTCAGGCCCCTGCAGACAGACTCCTCTCCCCAGGCTTCACTCCTGCTGCCCTCACCTTCGTGCTCCCAGAGACGCCAGCTGCCCCGCGTCAGGCCTGTGCGCTGAGCCTGGATGAGCCTCGCAGGAAGCCTGGGAGGCCGCTTATCCACCCTGTAGGATTTACTAACTTGCTGCCTCCCTGGCGGCCTTTGCTGACAACCCACTCAGAACTAGCTCCTCCCACCCCATCCCCTCGCCCCCGCAACTCCCCCTTTCTCTAGAATACTTATCAGCAGCATGCAACAGACTGTATTCTTATCCTGTTCACTGTCTGTCTTCTTTATCGCATGCAAGCACCTTGGGGGCAGGGATGCTTTATCCATTTCTGTGTTTTCCCCTATCTTCACTGTATTGACAGCAGCTAGAACAGTGGATGGTCTGGAGTGGGTGCTCAATGTTTGCTGAATAAATGAACGAGTCTGAAATGCCAGCTCTCTAACTTGTCAGATTTCCATAAACGCACAAGTCTTTTCTCAGAGTAGAGTAGTAGCTCAATTCCGTGCCACTGGTCTATTTCATTCATTTCTGCTCTTTCATTCTTTTTAAAATAAATATTTAAGGCTTTAAAATTTAAAAGCTCATTTCTTTGTTAATAATTTCTCTCTTAAATTGCACTTTGGTCAGAAAGCATGATCTAAAGACACAGATTCTTTGAATTTTATTGGGAATTGCTTTATAGCCTGGTATGTGGTCAGTTTATATGAAGGCTGAGTGCATAATGCAACACCTTAATACCAGACTTAATGAGACTAGCAAATGTTGCTAAAGTATTTTAATTCAATATATTTGGCAGAAATCCTTTTCACATACACAGAAAAAGGTGTCAACTACAAATTGGTACTTGCCATCTGCCTCGACAAGGACTAAATCATGAGCTGCTGCAGCCGCTGACCTGTAACGCCCCCTGAAAGGAGTTCAGGAAGAGATCAGGAACGAGGCCCCCCGTGCTCTGGGAAAACTGGCAGAACAGGCCTTCAGATAGTTAGAGATTTTGAGGAGAAGATCTTATGAGCCCAGTTCTTGCATCTTCTCATATCTAGAAAAGCACTAAAATCATGAATGGTGACATCTGTTCCTCGTGACTGGCAGCCACCTTCTGCCAGAACGTGTGCTTCACTGCACGCACCCCCTTCACCTAAACCACATACATACTGACCTCCACCCAACCACTTTGGAGCAGTTCCTCAGAGCTGAGATGCTGTCTCCTGGGCTATTGTCCTCATCTTTCCCCAAAGAAACCTTAACTCACAACTCTCACGTTGTGCATTTTTTTCAGTCAACAAGGAGACTAATTAAAAATAATACATAAACACAATTCAAGAAAAAAATAGCAAATAGAGCAAAGGGGCTTATCATGGAAAGCTACAGTTTCCCATTGAGTTTTTCTACTTCCAAGAGACAACTAGGTTTGTTTTTCTTTTTTTGGCGGTAGGCGGGCCTCTCACTGTTGTGGCCTCTCCCGCTGCGAAGCACAGGCTCCGGACGCGCAGGCTCAGCGGCCATGGCTCACAGGCCCAGCCGCTCCACGGCATGTGGGACCTTCCGGACCGGGGCACGAACCCGTGTCCCCTGCATCGGCAGGCGGACTCTCAACCACTGCGCCACCAGGGAAGCCCGACAACTAGTTTTAATGTTCCTAATTTTATTGTTTTTGGCTGTGACTTGACATCTCTCAATAACATGTTATACCCACTATTTCTTGATTTATCAACCTTACACATTATCTAGTGACTTGTCTCCTCTGACATGTGAAATTAGAGCCACTTGCGGCATCCCCCATTTCCACAAATAGTTATGGCACTATTCCTGCTCCTTTCATTGGCCACCTCTGCAATTTTGAACAACTACTCATTGACTTGTTTCACTCCATCACGTGCCCACTCATTCGCTCACTCAGCTACTCATCATGGGTCTACCACATGCTAGGCACTGCTGCAATTTTCTAGGTGCAAGGGATACCACGATGGAAAAAGCAGAGACAGTTCTTATTCTTATGTGTTACATATTCTAAACAAATCATCATAGTAAATATATAAACAAGAACAAATCATATTAAGCAAGAAAATAAACTAATAAATACATGCAAGACCTAGAGTGAAAGTGCTCTGCAGAGGGTTAAAGCAAGACTAAGAGGAGGGGCTTCCCTGGTGGCGCAGTGGTTGAGAATCTGCCTGCCAATACAGGGGACACGGGTTTGAGCCCTGGTCTGGGAAGATCCCACATGCCGCAGAGCAACTAAGCCCATGAGCCACAACTACTGAGCCTGCGCTCCGCAAGAGGAGAGGCTGCGACAGTGAGAGGCCCACGCACCGCGATGAAGAGTGGCCCCCACTCACCACAACTGGAGAAAGCCCTCGCACAGAAACGAAGACCCAACACAGCTAAAAATAAATAAATAAATAAATTTATTAAAAAAGGAAAAAGACTAAGAGGAGAGGCTGGAGGACGACTGTAGGCTGGTGACCGAGGAGCTTCCCAGGGAGGCTGAGGTTAGTACTGGGCACACCTAAGTGCCCAGTGAATATTTCATGACAGATAAACCACGTGATCTGGAGCTGAGACTGGATGGCGAGAAGCGGCCGGCCGTGTACTGCCTGTGCTCCCTCGTGGTGAGACGAGAACACGGGGGCCCCGCCGGGCCCTCACCGCCCTGCCTCGCCCTGCTTCTCCGGCTCACCTCCAGCAGCCGCATCTTTACTTTCACAACACTGCTTCTCCACAGGCAGGGCTAGATGCTGAAGGCCAGTGACATTCACATCGCTACCTCAGAGGTCACATCAGCACGCCTGTGTTACGACTGCTTTCTGCAGGGCTGAGTGTGTCATGGCGCTGCCACCAATCTCCTCATAACCTCTCTGTAGCCCCGCCACTTGCTCTGCGATCTGTTCACACCAGGGACTGGTAAACTCTTCTGTAAGGAATAGGGCAGTGAACAGCTGAGCCTTTCAGAGCCACAGGTTTCGTGGTGAGTCCTCAACCCTGTCTCTGCAGCGTGAAAGCACCAGAGACAGCACATCAAGGAACAAGCCTGCCTGCGCTACCACTTTACTCACGAGACAGAGGGCCGACTGCAGTCTGCCAATCCCAGTGTACAACTTGAACGTTACACCGTCAAAGAGAATATTTATATCCTACTCATAAAAACAACCAACTCTTATTTATCATTACTGTAAAATGCTGCATTTGTGTATAGCTGAATTTTAGAATCTGAAAAGCAATTAACGGCACTTAACATTATGACTAGGTAAATATTATTTACTACATAACCCAGAAAGTGTGCTCTAATCACACTTCTTCTTATCCGCATCCAAAGCAATGACCAACTCTTACGCCTTTCAAGGTAAAATGCTTCTAGTATAAAATATCACGAACCCTGTGTACCTACTACCCAGCTTTAACAAGTATCAAAACATGGCCAATTATGCACCCATCTGGACTTCCATCCACTCCCCCCTCCTCCCTGATTTTGAGGTAAATCCCAGACAAACAATTTTATTTCTTATTTTCTGTCTTTTAATTTAGGAGAGATTTCTTCAACTTTATTTTTAACTGTTCTATTGAAGTTTTTTATTTTGACAATTCTATTTTTAGTGTTTCTTGATCTCTGGTATTTTCTTTTTAAAATAGCATCTTGTCCTTTTTTTTTTCTGCTGTATGCAGGCCCCTCACCGCTGCAGCCTCTCCCGTTGCGGAGCACAGGCTCCGGATGCGCAGGCTCAGCGGCCATGGCTCACGGGCCCAGCCGCTCCGCGGCACGTGGGATCCTCCCGGACCAGGGCATGAACCCACATCCCCTGCATCGGCAGGCGGACTCTCAACCACTGCGCCACCAGGGAAGCCCTTGTCCTTATTTTATAGCTGCAATATCTTCACCACTTTCACGAAGGTATTAAAAAGAAAAATCTCCTCTACTACCCCAATTTCTCCACTTCCTCTAGGGCTAGTTTCCTGTTTATCTTGACCCTTCTCTTTTTTGTTACGCAGATTTTCCTCACATGTAAGAATCGGTTTTTTGTAAATTAGAGAATCCAGAAAGGTCAAAATGAAAAGGGCCTTACCCTGCAATACTAATACTTGGTCTAACCTCCTGTACTTCTGTTTGCTTAACTTCTTTAGAAGAGAACCCTCCGATTGGGAAACCAGCTACAGGTCAGGGTATCTGCAGTGGGTGACAGGCAATGGGGCTGAGCTCTCCTACAGAAGACCCCATTACACCTCGCTGCAGCCTTCCACCAAGCATGGGGACTTCTCTGGGGTTCAGCTACAGCAGCTCCCTCCCCCTTTATAGGTGTTCTGGGCCACTGCATGCTTTACTCCTTTTAGGCCGTTTGGCACTTTATCCAACTGCCTTTTGGCCTTCTGAGGTTGATGATGAGCAGTGGTGTGCTGTTGCTGGCTATAACCAAGCCGCTTGCTAAATATTCGGGAGTCTGGTGAGCCGACTGTTAACATTAACAACCTGGAATTTGTCGCTGTGACAGTGTTCATACCGTAGAAATTGGAAAACGCTACAAATCAGGGCTTTAAAAAATCTCCCCCAGTCCTCCTGTGAGCCGATCTCTCTCCTCTTTCTCTTCTTTTCTTGTGGGCTTATCCCATTTTAAGTTCATTTATTATGAATTTGATGGGGCTGTGAGAAGGAAGGAAAACTCTGACCTTTGTTCAATCTGCACTCTTTTTCCAGGCTCTGTTTCCTTTTTCTTCTCGAACTAGGGCTGTATTACAGCCAAACTGTACCACACGTGGGACCCAGGGCACATGGTGGGACGCAGAGCCGTGCTGCAAACAGGTGGTGCAAAACCAGATCTCTTACCTGCAGATCCAACTCATGGCACCTTTGAGCAATTTCTTCCTTGGCTGACAAAGCTTCATTCAGTTCCTCTGAAGTTTTCTTCAGCTGGGTAGAAGCAAAGAGCTACAGTGAACATCGCAATATGACGTGGCAACAACTAATGATCGCACATGTACAATACAAAACTAAAACGCCTCCCCCTGTTCTTTCTGTGGGGCAGGGAGAAATCAAGAACCCTTCCGCACGAGTCAAAAGAAGGGTTTCTTCCAACTGCAGACATCTTTTAGGCCTGAGTCTTGCCTTTTCTGTACTTGGAAATTGGTTCTTTCCTCATATCAGGTTTTCTTATACATCTCCTAGGGCTACTTGGTTCTTGGTAATGTTGATTCTGTAATAACTAAGAAATCTCACCTTGGTAAAATATATATGTGCTAGAGGAACAGGGGTTCGATTGTTAAAATAAATAGCTAATGTATTTCAACACAAGTGTTGTATGGTTTAAAAAATATTTACTCTCTCAGTACTTAGCAGTCAGGATATATGGCCAGAAGAGATAGGCAGCTGGATTGCTCTTGGATTGAGATTTTGCCCAGGAGAAGGTATTAAGGTAAGAGAATCGATTATATTGACAAAATCATCACAATAATAGACCATGAAGTCTAGGCCAGAAAGAGGAGGTAACTGATTAAACAGATGATGAACTGCATAAGCTAAAGTATGAAGTGGGGAGATTTCCAAAAATAAGATGACGATGTTGGCAGAAGAAAGAGGAGTAGGCTTTAGGCAGGCAGAACAGTAGTGTTCACCGTAGAGTCTAAGGAAAGTGAGGAAGGACGAACGTGAGATGATGGGCTGTCAGTGAAAACCAGACAGTTCACTTCTTCACAAAGATGAAGGGTAGAGGAGACTTCTTCAATTGAAGAATAACATGAAATAACAGGTAAGATATCTTTTGTATTATAAGTAAATCACAGGATTAAATGCATGCCATTTTCCAGGACTGCATCTATTGTGTTAAACGTGGCATACAGAAAGATATCACTAATGGAAAAAGAAAAACCATGACTAGAAAACATGAATTATATAGTAAGTTAAAGAGGTTAATTTATTTTAAAGTGGGTTGTGCAATAATATGTTAATTACAAATTTAATTACACGTGTGTAATATCCATTAGTAAAGTGGCTTAAGTTCTTGAATTTTAGGTAAAAAATAAAGAATTATACCAATATATTTCATAAGCAATTTCAACTGAAACATCCTTTTCATTAATATCTAAAGTTCACCCTTTAATCTCTGCATGGATGAAAACAATGCAAGATCAGGTACCTGGCGATCAAGGTCAACATAGGCATCATTCCCAGCAGAGACAGGAGACTCTTTACTCATCAGCTGAAATTAAGATTTAAATGATTACAACCACGAGAAAAAAGTGACATTCTATGTAATACACTTACAACAACAAACATGAACACCCAGCTGCCATAGAATTATAAAAATTACAATGAAATCACAAATGTAAAAGGAACACTTTCCTATACATTGAAGCTCTTCAGCCTGGAGCTTTGTTTTGCTGCAGGATTAGCCTTCACTTAAAATCACATGTGTAATTCTGGTATGCATTTTCACAGCAGGGCCAGTCATGAGACTCAAGTATTACTTATTCTTACCACTAAAAAGACAAGTCTTTAAGTTAAAATGTGGCTAAATATTTAAAATATTGACTTTTCAGTAAAAAAAATAGTAACACTAAGTAACTCTTTCTGAAGAATAAACGTGGGTCACATCAATATCAGCCCAAATTAACCGCTAATGTTCAGTGATGACACGCACATACACACGAATCTAGGTCTCAGCCTCTCTCACCCTTGTGTTGCACACAGAGAAGATCCAGAGGGTGTGTGAGGGTTTGGGGAGAAGGGATAAAATTCTGACTGTGACAAATGTCAGGGGCAGACTCAAATGTCCCAATTTTCTCCTGTTTCCTTCTTATGCTCTCTCTGAAGGACAAAAGAGAGGGACAGTTAGAAATGTGGGGACAGACTATTGAGAGATCTTGTAATTTCAGCCTTCATCCCACTGTCTAAAGAACTGAAATGTTATGCTACCTTCTTCTCTGCATCAGTGGTTCTCAACACTGATTGAGAAGTCCCCAAACCAACAACACCAAACCAACGACACCAGCATTGCCTAGGAACTTGTCAGAAATGCTAATTCTTGGGTCCCTGCCCAGATTTACTGAATCAGAGACTCTAGGGTTAGGGCCCAGCACCACACACTGAAGTTTGAGAACCACTGCTCTATATTAATGTCATGAGAAGAGTGAAGGTCCCTTAGAACCTTAGGAGGGAAAAAAAATCTCAGAAAGAGTAAAAGAATACTGGCTTCAATTTTTTATGCTTTTATTGTAAGAATATTAATAAAAAGATGTTCAAAAGATTTTTCTTCCAATTAAAAAAATAACACCCAACGTAGAGAAGATAAAATTCAGAAAAAATACAAAGAGAAAATACCCATTATTCTACCATCCAGAAATAACCACGTCTATAATTCTGAACTATTCAAGAAGCTACCTGTGCCATGGGTTTCACACAGCTCAAGTAAGACAGAGAAATACAGTGTCAGGTGATGAGGGCTGTGACAGACACTCAGAGAGGAAGGATCTAATTTGGGGGGTGTGGGGGGGTAGAAGGGAGTAGAAGTATTTTCTTCCAGTCCCCATTGTTACATGTTAGTTCTTATCATAACGCAGCAGCACCTGTGAATAAAACCCCCTGAACACAGCCTCGTCCCAGTCAATCCCAGCTAGGATGTCCACCTTGACGAGGTTTCCAGGTCCTATACCTCCTGACTTCCTCCCTGGTTTTCACTGACAGCCCATCATCTTACGTTTGTTCTTCCTCACTTTGCTTAGACTCCACAGTGAACATTACTGTTCTGCCTGCCTAAAGCCTACTCCTCTTTCTTCTGCCAACATTGTCACCTTATTTTTGGAAATCTCCTCACTCCGTACTTTAAGTTATGCAGTTCATCATCTGTTTAATCAGTTACCTTCTCTTTCTGGCCTAGACTTCATGGTCTATTATTGTGATGACTTTGTCAATATAATCAATTCCCTTACCTTAATACCTTCTCCGGGGCAAAATCTCAATCCAAGACCAATCCAGCTGCCTATCTCTTCTGGCCATATATCCTGACTGCTAAGTACTGAGAGAGTAAATATTTTTTAAACCATAAAATATAATATATAGTTTCCAATCTCAGCTGGGCCTTCAAAGTTGCCCCCAAAGTGCAGCTATGCTTCCCCAATCAGCAGTCTATTTATTCCCTTTAGAGATTATTCCAAACCTTTCCTACTTCTCAAACCTCACCAACTCCCCACTACTCTTATCAGAAAACCTTGCCTCCAGATAAGAAATTCCCCAATTTCCTGTACCTTAACCTACAAAATTGGCAGCATTCATACCCATCCTTTCCTTCTTCAATCTTGTTGTAATACACTCTCAACCCTGTCTCTTCCCAGCTTCTCAGAGACCCTGTACTAGTTATCATCCTCTCTCTTGTTATCTCAACCTCTATCTTGCTCTTTCCTGTGGCTTCTTCCTATTAGCATTTAAAGAATTAAAAGACTATCATTTACTTGATTACCAATCACATTTCTCCAAAGAAGATAATACACAAATGCCCAACAAACATATGAAAAGATGCTCAACATCATTAGCCTTTAAGGAAATACAAATAAGCCACAATTAGAAAACACTTCACATACACTAGGATGGCTAATATCAAGAAGATGGACAATAACAAGGGTTGACAATGAGGGCGAGAAATTAGAATTCTTAGCACATTGCTGGTGGGAATGTAAAATGGTGCAGCACTGGTGGAAAACACACCTGTGCTGGCACTTCCTCAAAAAGTTAAACACAGAATTACCATGTGACCCAGAAATTCAATTTCTGGGTATATACCCAAAAGAATTAAAAACAGGTGTTCGGACTTCCCTGGTGGTGCAGTGGTTAAGAATCCACCTGCCAATGCAGGGGACACGGGTTTGAGCCCTGGTCCGGGAAGATCCCACATGCCGCAGAGCAACTAAACCTGTGTGCCACAACTACTGAGCCCACGTGCCACAACTACGGAAGCCGCGCACCTAGAGCCTGTGCTCCGCAACAAGGGAAGCCACCGCAATGAGAAGCTGGAGCACCACAACGAAGAGTAACCCCCGCTCACCGCAACTAGAGAAAGCCCGCGCGCAGCAACGAAGACCCAACACAGCCAAAAATATATAAACAAACAAACAAATAAATAAATTTATTAAAAAAATAAAATAAAAACAGGTGTTCAAAACAACCCCGTACACTCAGGTTCACAGCAGCACTACTCACAATACCGAAAAGGTGGAAACAACTCAAACGTCCATCAAATGATGAATGGATAAACAAAATGTGGCACACCCACACCATGGAATACCATTCAGCCACGAAAAGGAACTAAATATTGATACATGCTACAAAATAATCTTGAAAATGGTAAATTTTATGTTATGTGTATTTTACCACAACAGAAAAAAAAAATCAAAGTCAGCTGCACCTGAATAAAGACATACAGACAATCACCTTACAAAAGCCCTTCTTCAATTCCATAGTTCTATCCAGCCACCCCGTCCTCCTCCACGGCCCAATCAGTCACCAAGCCTATTAAGTAAAGCTCTGACAATGTTCAAATCTGTCCACATCTCTCCACCCAGCCACCATAACCTAGTTCAGGCTTCCAACGTTCCTCACCAGATAATTACTAAGGTCTCAACTGCTCTCCCTTTTTCTAGTCTTGTTTTCCTCCGATCCATTCTTCTCACTGCCTGGATTTTCTCAAATACAGACTTCAGTGTATTTTCTCCTTAAAAAGCAGTTCACTGGTTTCCAAAATTCCAGCTCTTTCCACAAAGCTGCTCGGCATCCTCCTGGCCTTACGGCTCTTGCCTTGCCTCCAGCACCCACACCCCCCGCGCCATGCGGCTGCCTCCTGGACTGCAAGCGCGTGCCCTTCCTGACCTCTCCTCCTCCTCCAGTGCTCAGACGAGACATGCATTCTCTGAGAACCCTTCCCCAACATCCCCACGCTGAGGGACACACTCCTTTGAGGTCCTACTATCTCTTCCCCATCACGGCACTTTTCATTCTGAATGCTTTGGATGTATTTGAATTGCTCGCTTGTCCATTCTTCCCTTTAGATCACACTTTGTGAGACAAGAGGCCACGTCTATCTTTTCCGCAGTTGTATCCTGAAGGCCTCCTATAGCTCCCACTGCATTCTAGGTGCTCGATAAGTATTTACTAAATAAACAAAATGAATATGCACATAAAATGTACTGCGTTAGTGAGTACCAGCACCATCAGCACAGAGTAGGTGTAGATAAACGCTTGCCAGTACGATTATCACCATCCAGCTCTCTATTTCAGATTTCCTCAGAATAAATTCCTAAAAGTGAAATTACAGGATCAATTACAGTAAGGCAGAACAGTTAGTGGCCCCCTTATTGTTTTTCCTGTCTTTGCTTAGTAACAGAATCCTCACATCTTGGCTGGGTCCATGACCACCTGGAAAAAAGACCACATTCCCCAGCTTCCCTGTGTGGCAATGTGAGTAACAGCTGGATAACAGGAGTGAGAATTCCTGGAAGTTTACTAAGAGGAAGTGGAGAACCTTCCTTCAGCCCTGCCTGCTGGCCGGAATGTGAATGTGAGGGCTGGAAGCCAAACAGCCACGGCTGACCACAGGGTGGGAATCACATATTAGGGATGGCAGACAACAAGAGGCAAGAAAGCTGCGCCCCTGATGCCTACGGAGCCAACCCATGACCACTTGAGAGCAAATTAAACTCATATCTTGCTTGGGTGACCATCATTTTGTTAGTTTACCCTGCTACCATCAGCACTGACTGACAAACAGATCCTCTCCTAAAAGCTCTGCTTTGTTGAAATGTCCTGTATGATAGTGAATTTGGCTGATCCTTTGCCCCCAGTGACTGGGAGGCGGCCGCTAAATCTCTGGATTTCTCTGCTGAGTGTCTTTGTTATTCATGGTGGGTCCCTAGATAGTTTAAGCTAGGAGATGACTCTGGTTGGGGGCTGGTGATGCCAAGAAAACCAACCGCATATGGGACGGTTGGGGCTTTGAGCCACTTGATACCAGCCTGGCCTCTGGGGAGGAGACAGGGGCTGGAAATTTAGTTCAACCTTGTGGCCAATGATCCAACCAATCACACCTATAAAATGAAACCCCAACAAAATGCTGGACATGAAAGCTCGGGTGAGCTTCCCCGGTTGGCAGTTCTCTCTGTGTGTTGTCACACAGTAATGTGCTGGGAGGGTGACATGTCTTGATTCCATGGGGAGGGGACAACAGAGACTGAGTTTGGGACCCTCCCAGAACTCCATTTCGGGGGGTGGGGGGCTGGTTCTGATTCGTATCCTTTTGCTGTAATAAACCGTCACTGTTCTATGAGTCATTCCAGCAAATAATCAAATCTGAGGAGGTAGTGGGAACTGCTGGATTCATAGTCAGTTGGTCGGATTTAAAAGGAAATGCTTCATAGCACAGGGAGATCAGCTCGGTGCTTTGTGACCACCTGCAGGGGGGATAGGAAGCGGGGGTGGGAGGGAGAAACAAGAGGGAGGAGATATGGGGATACATGTATACATAGAACTGACTCACTTTGTTATACAGCAGAAACTAACACAGCAATGTAAAGCAATTATATTCCAATAAAGATGTTTAAAAAAATTTTTTTAATAAAAAATAAAAAAAAGTAAAATAGGGCTTCCCTGGTGGCACAGTGGTTGAGAGTCCACCTGCTGATGCAGGGGACACAGGTTTGTGCCCCGGTCCGGGAAGATCCCACATGTCACAGAGCGGCTAGGCCCGTGAGCCATGGCCGCTGAGCCTGCACGTCTGGAGCCTGTGCTCCGCAACAGGAGAGGCCACAACAGTAAGAGGCCCGCGTACCGCAAAAAAAAAGTAAAATAAAAAAGGAAACACTTTATCTTAATTTGCATTTAGCATTTTTCATGTTTGTCTGTTGCATTTTTTTCTGTTAGTTACTTACATTCTATACTATTTTAGTTCCCTTAAAGGTTTCTTCCATTACTTCTATGATTAAAAAATTCTCCCATCTTAAGATCACTTTCACTCTTATAGTTCTATGTCTGACACCTGATGGAGTTCAGGACATGCTGCCCCCAAATATGGCAGCTTGGCATGTTGAATGTTTCAAGCTGAAGGAATTTGAGAAACAGCCGGGACAGGAAAGATTTTCTGACCTTCCTCTGAAGCAGGTCTTAAGTCCCTCACGTGAGAGGCACCCTCCCTATGCTCAGAGGAAAGGAGTATCCGTATCTCCAAAGTCAGAGGGATGCAGAAGGAATCTGAACAAACAGGACTTGCCGTTTTTCGCCCTATCACATTTTTCCACGAGACTTTCCACTCTTCACCAAATCCAGCATCAAAACACTCAGGTTGAACCACCTCTTTGGGCTTCCCTGGGGGCGCAGTGGTTGAGAATCTGCCTGCCAATGCAGGGGACACGGGTTTGATCCCTGGTCCAGGAAGATCCCACATGCCGCGGAGCAACTAAGCCCATGTGCCACAACTACCGACCCTGCGCTCTAGAGCCCGCGAGCCACAACTACTGAGCCCGCGTGCCGCAACTACTGAAGCCCACGCACCTAGACCCAGTGCTCCGCAACAAGAGAAGCCACTGCAATAAGAAGCCCGCGCACTACAAGGAAGAGTAGCCCCCGCTCGCCGCAACTAGAGAAAGCCCACACACAGCAACAAGGACCCAACACGGCCAAAAATAAATAAATAAAGTAATTTTAAAGAAAAACAAACACTTCTTTGATCTTCATTTCTTTATGAAGCCTCCTGTGTTGTGTAAAATTTAAATACATTTGTATGCTCTTCTATTGTTAATCTGTTTTTTGTTTGTTTTTAACAGAGGCTTCAGCTAAAAACTTGAAAGGATAGAGGAAAAAAACATTTTTCCCCTCTTACAGTTTCAAATAAATATTCATCTAGAAATTGCCTTGAGTCTGGCTGGAGTTGAAGACCCATTTCCTTCCAAATAAGAAACCAATACTTAAGTGTGAGGCAGACTGCTAGTTTAAGATAGATATTATTCATAATGGCTTCAGGAATTAGTCTACTATTCCTAATTCAGTAAAGCATTTAAAAAAATTAGGAATTGTTATGGAATATCTATAATTCCAAGATAAACATTTAACGTTTAAATAAAAATGAGACAAGCTATAGCATAAGTGCGAAGAAAAAAATTCTCAAAAAATGAGTAGGAGAATCTCTTTTTAAAATTTCTACTTCAATTACACAAACTCATGTTTGCTCCTTTAACTTCTCACAAACTGTAAGCACAAAGGTCCAACATACCTCCTGGATGGCTGTCATGACAACGTGTTGCACAGATTCCTCCATCATCATGATGGCTTGGATGTACTCTGAAAGTAAGAACAACCTGGAATGTCAGTGTTCAAGTTATAGACAACCAAGGGAGTAAAGGCTAACACTTCATGAATTCTGAAAAGAAGTTTCCTGTGTTTTGATTCTTCCTCGGAATTCCTCGTATATGGTTAAATACATGTGTCATAGGTAAAGTAAAGGCTGAAAATCACATTATTTATCCGTCCTTAAAAATAACTGCCCCCCCATAAAGTTGAGGCTACAGCTAAAGGTCACAGGAATAGAGGATCTCGGGAATGTAAAACAATGAAACGGTACAGCCTAAGGCCAGAATGGAAAGGACTCTGTATTACTGTTCCTAAAATCTAAAAATCTTTCACATTATTCTTTGCTACATGTTATAAAACTTTGATGTCTGTGTTTTATTCTTAGGTGACATCAAAGTATTGAATTGTGTATAATTTCTACCTTAATATTTTCTACAATTAAAAAAAAAAACAACTTAGGGATACTGAGACCTGCTCAGGACAAAGAATTAACGTGAATTTAAGATAGAGACTGACGCTATAGTTAAACACTGTGTAACCCCGGGCTTTAAAATAATGACCCAAATCTCTAATAAGCTAAAGCATCAACTTCATCAACCTTACCCTCACCAATGCCAAAAAAGAGAAGGCTCCCTTAGCCGTTTGTAGTGACGAAGTTGAAAAAAAAAAATTCTTGCCTTCTAAATAAAGCCCTGGTAGTAGTTTTCACTATTTTCAAATCCAATAATAGATGAAAAAACAGGTATTAAGCATAAAAAATCAATAGGCCAGCTGGATTTCAACAAATACGTAAATATATTTTAATAAGAAACATTTTTTTTGAATTTTATTTTTTTACACAGCAGGTTCTTATTAGTCATCCATTTTATACACATTAGTGTATACATGTCAATCCCAATCTCCCAATTCATCACTCCCCCATCCCCACCCAATAAGAAACATTTTAAAACATAAAGTCATTAGGAAATTATAGCCTCAACCTGCCTCTCTCCACTCTATACCCAAAAAAACACCAAAAAAAATTGTCTCAGCACTCTAATAGTGTATGAAAGAGTCTTACTGTGCAATCATTACAGTGACCTACTGGCAAGAAACTCATGGATTTGGAATGCCAAACTGTAGTCCTTTGCTTGACAGGTAACTTGTTTAAAAAAAAAAAAGAATTTTGACAGCACTATTAAATTACGACATTCCGGTCATTAATGCCAAAGCTTTTAGTTAAACAAAGCGTGTTTTCAAGGAAGTACTGTCATAAGGATGCTTGTACCCAATCAGTGATGCATATGCAAGTATACACAACACACTTAAACCACAGGCATCGTTCTTAGGCCCAAAGTAAGAATACTGCGCACCATAACTTAACCACTTTCCGGTTTAAAAAAAAAAAAGAATCCCTTTAGTCTGAGCTGAACTTTTTGTTTGTTTGGTTTGTTAGTGAAGAGCGTCCT